TTCAAACTTTTGTTCTTGACGTCTGTGGTCAACTTGAGAATAGATTAAAGTGATTAAATATTGTTTGTCTTTATTAATATTTTTCTATAGTGTAGCCTTGGCAAAATTCGTGATTATAGAAGTATAAAATACAATCATAATAGTGTACAAACTTACAATTCCAATTAATTATAGTCGAATTTCGACTACTGCGGGACCTCTAGTCTATCTAAAAGTATCTAAATGTTAAGTTAATGTAAAATTGTCTGATAATAACAATTAGTGGACGTACCTATGCCGGGTTCCGCAAGGCTGATTTTGATATTTTCTGTCTGTGCATTCGTATATTGTTTTATAATTGAACTTAATAAATGGCGCTCCGATAATTTTCCCAATCCATGTTATTTTTCAGCTTATTAATTACATCGTCTAGATTATTCGAATCACTTTATACATACTATTTAGAAATATTTATTTTATACTTCGAAATCAGTGTATAGAAATGAGTTTTTAACATTGGCAAGGATCGGTAATACTTCCTAGACATCCGTAGAAATAATATGGTCATTTATTTTTCTAACATAATACCTAAATACTATGCAGTTAATAAAAAAATTATACAAACTCTAATCGAAACAGTAAAGCAACATTAAAATCGTTTAAAGCTAACAAAGAACTGTGCAGCCTTCATTAAGAATATTCACAGCATTAAACACCATTCAATCAATCTGTGTGTTGTTGCTGTCACGAATTTATTATGAATAACGTTTATAAGCCGATGTGATGAGCACTGAATAATGATAAATTGAAGAACTTGTACGAAGCGCTCTCGGCAGTTCATCGCCATTAATTTTTTTTATTATTTTTTATTGGCCTAGAAGCCGGGCGTACGACACACCTGATGGTGAATGGTTACCGCATCGCCCATCGTCTTCAGCAATGCCAGGGACAGAGCTAAGTTGCTGTCAACCGTTAAGTACTCTCCACAAGCCTCGTTTGAAGAAGAACATGTCATAGTGCTCGGGAAACACCGTGGAGGGGAGCTCTTTTCAAAGCCGGATGTTACGTGGCAAAAAAGATCTCTGGAAACGCACTGGGCTTGAACGCAGTTGCTCCAGGTAGTATGGATGAACTCTACTCTGGTGGCGGGCGGTGCGATAATAAAAACGAGATGATGGGATCATCTCAAACAACTCCTCCGAGCACTCCACTCAATTTATGATATATTACAAACATGTATTCAATGAAGACGCGAATGTTTAATAATTTCGTGCTTAAATTAAACATCTTCATTTTGACTATTAAAAGTTCCTCTGTTTTTCTGACGAATTTTCGGTGTTCGTGTATTTTTGAAACCGCTGTGAATCTCACAACTTCCCCTAATAATAAGTAGTTAACGGAGGCGATAAATCGCATCCATCCAACTTGGTCATCAGGTCAAATACTCGGTTCTATCGGGCACCACCACTTGGGCACCACCACATATTTTGGAGTAGTTATCGGTTGGAGTGGAAAGGGGGGGGGGGATGAAAGCCTTTTTAATGGTTATAAAATAGTTATAAATGACTAAAAGGTTCTTATAAAAAAATGAGTGTAACATATAAGACTATATGGGTCATGAACTCATCTATCGAACTATGGTAATGTACGAGTATTTAACCTAATTAAAACCCGACAAACTATCTCCCTCAGGCAACAGTCTGAAACGGTTACTCAAATAACATCAAGACAAAATGACAAAGGACTACTTTTTGTATAAGAATGAGCAAGCTTTCTTTTAGTTGACAAGAACATACGATTGGACGGTGAGTCACAGTAATGTTCCTGACCATTTGAGATAATTTTTTTCGTTAACAAAAGTTAATTATTACACTAATATAAATGTACTTACATGTACATATTTTTGCAACAAAAACGTGTGGATAATTATTAAATAAATTAACTAATAACAGCAATATCAAAGAACAAAAGTAATTTTACAAGACTTAGCCGCGAGCAACGACCCGCGAAAATATAAGAAAATATTATTAATTTATAAATAAAATTTATTAAGAAAATTTATGGTTTTGCATGTGCATACTCTGCGTCTTATCCGACCGCGGCGGGGCAACGCAAAGCCGACGTCGCCCTAAATATGTCTTATCGGTTCTCCGGGATTCACTCTCAGTGCTTTTAGGACCCTCAAGCACCGGTCACCGTCCTGGTCGAACTCGTCAATTACGACGATGAGTTCGACGAGCGAACCAACCTGTAGACACAGCCCACTGAGTTTCTCGCCGGGTCTTCTCAATGGGTCGCGTTTCCGATTTGGTCCAGTAGATTCAGCGAAGCACTTTGTGCCAGGGCTATTGCTAGCAAATTCTCTTACGTTGAGCCCGTGAGCTCACCTACCTGTCTGGGCGTAGCTGGAACAGCCTTTTAAGCTACCAGCGAATAGGTGAGGAAAAAACTCTACTGCAGAATACTGTATGTGCAGTCGTTGAAGTCTTTTTAATGAACGCATTAATGTATTATCAGCTCTACACATACATACATCACATGACATTTCTATTAATTTTACTAGTGTGGAAAGAACCAAATAAACAGTTGAGATATTGAAGTTGATGACACGTAAATCTCTAACTTGAGACAAAAAATTGAAATCCTAATTACATTGGAAATACAGGTCTCTTCGATCCGGAGTGTAATAATATGTATAAGCCGCGCGGCAGAATACGCAAGGAGTTTGTTATACCTCTGTGCATTAGCATTTAATAAAACATCACGTATGAAATCGAATCTCATTGTAATACACATATCTCTTAACTTATTCACTTACTTCGATTGATTTAAAAAATAAAAAATAAACTATTAATTTTCGTAGGACTATAATTACAGACAGACATGATTTAACTACCACGGACTCTGCTACATAAATCAATCAAATTTCAAATTAAAGTCCTGATTGATTTTTTAACACATGCAGAAAACTTAGCGGTATCAAAAATAACTGTAAAAATTTATATATTTACCTTCTTGTTCGACCTAAAAGAAGCACTCACACGTATTATGAAACAGAACGTCTATGCAAACACCACACACTACGATGTTCCTTATTTGTATTTAAAACAATCGTTTAATAACACTGCAGAGTTAATTTATATTTCGTGCCAGCGAGGCGGCATGGGGTCACTGTGACCGCGCAACCACGCACCGATGCGACCTCTTCGGATGTGCGCCCGCGCTGCACCTAAACGATGAACTGGCGCGCCAACCCGGCCGCACGAACAAGCCATTCACACACACCAGAACCATCACGAACAACGAACAATCTAACGCGAACGGCTCATACCAGCACACGGATCATAATTGTAGCAAAATGCTAATGCAGGCTTTTATGTGCAAGCCGCAGGAGCTGTTCAGAAACGATGTTGTGGTCAACCGATTGTCGGGAAATTATTTGATTGATCGATAGAACATCATCGTCGGGTTATAAACAGGAAAGCAACAATTTAAACAGACGCAAGATACGTAATGTAATTGTGTAAAAAACTAAAGCTGAGCTTCCTCGTTTAAATTTATTAATTAAAAGATTTAGAAAAGATACACATAAAAATAAGACACTCACCTGTAATAAAAATACAACGTCTTAAGCATAATAAAGCAGACGTAAGCATTTAAAAACATGTTTAACTTCAATTATTCAACACATTAATGATACTCGTGAATTCGGTAGTTGTGTAATTTTCATATTATTATATATAAATTTATGACTGAAAATACAATTTTGGTGAAACTAAACTAAGATCTATAATTTACATAAGATCTATAATGTTTTAGAATAAAATAAGCAAAATATTATGCTAAATGAAAAAACAAACAAATCCGACATTTTTTTATATGACAAAGAAAAACTCGACAATTTTTTTTCTTAAAGCAACAATTGTATCGACTTTAAAAACTACCATTTTTAATAGCTCTACAACTATTTGAATTGGTAATATTGAAAGTGATTGAGACGACTTTTAATTGTCCTTTAATTCTTACTAAAGCTTGTCAAAACTGAAAACAAAACTGTCGAATCTACCAATCGGTTTATGAGAATAAAATATATATTTAAAAGAATTTTTTGATTTAGTTGGCAAGTAAAAAATGAACAACACTGATCGAAGCTATTTAAAAATAAATAGAGAAGGCATAATCAGTAGTAATAGGGTATGATCGAGGCTCGGTGAGGCAGTGTGATGTGGACATCCTGTGCGTATCCTAGCGAGCCGACCGGCCATCGAACCCGAAGTCGGCCGCCGACCACTATACAACAGCACGCGAGCGACGTGTACACTCTTATGTACGGGAAAATATGAAATCACCGTTTTTATTTTATTAATATTCTTAGGAAATAAACGCAAAAGCCTCGTTCAATCGTGAATCTTACGACTTTTATGAAAAACTATGTTTTTCATTACATTAGTAACGCGAAGGGAACAAATACGAATGCCAATGAACACAAATTTTCGAAGTCCAGTACCTCTTTCTAAGCCTATCGAATTCTACTTGAAATAATTCACGAGTTTGAAATGTTTCTCTTGATTTTGATTTAACAAAATTTGGGGCACTTCAATAAAAAACAAATATAATTAAAATTGAAATATAATATTTTTTCTAGGAACTAATATTGAGCTTAGATACATTTTATACCTTAAAAATACACTATTGAAAACCCGATTCAATAAGGACTTGTTTTCAAGTACTGTCGAATCACGGCTTACGTTATTGGTGGTATTTCATAATTGTTACTAAAAATAAGAATAAAACTAATTTGGAAAATAATTAGACCTCTAGTTTTGAATAAGGGGCAACAAGGATTATCTACTTTAACTTTAAAATACCGATAGACCCATCACTGTAAAACATAACGCTAATATTACATCGGAAATATTTAAAAAAATCCACAATAATTGTAAATGAGCAGTAACCATCTCACCCGTTCGTATATCGTCGTTGTCCCTTAAAAAACAAAGTTTTAAACTTTTGAAGTAAGTCTATTCTGATTCGTAATGCTTTGAAATAGCATCCATAATGAATTGGAAGGTCTGTGGGTTAATCCAGGATAGACCAGATGGTAATTCGGCGGGTTCTAAGCTCCTGGCTTTTCTCCCGACCGTTCGCTCTAAAAAGTAGTCATCATATTCCATGCTGTAGTCCGGGAGAATAGGATTGAATTTCGCGTAATAGATTGCAGAGAGGCAAGCGTACAGCAGAAGAGCAGCTGTAAATAACTGAAAAACAAAAGATAAATATATTAATTTATTTACGTTAAATGTATACACTATGAAGAACTTTTAATCGATCATTGAAAAATCAACCCTCTGCCATTGGGTATAATGTATTGAATATAGTGAGTTTAATTTATGAGACGTAATGTATCTATTACGGTTATAAAAAATACGGAACCATAAAATAAACCACTTAGATATGACCGTGGAGATTACAGTTATCACGCTTCGCCAATTATAACATCAAGATGCTTTTGAATTATTATTACTCCTAGTTCAACTTTATGACATTTCAGTCACCCCTGATTGTTATCAGAAACATCGACTTCATCAGAAACAGAAATAAAATTAAAAGTATCTTTTAGATAAGCAGTTTTTTTAATTACAGCTTGTCATAATATTATTATTTAGACGGCCATTTTTCACTAAGTGGCGTTGTACATAATTAAATTGTAATTCAGTAATGTTTACTTTATTATCGTTTACCATTCAGAGTCTGAATATACTATACTTGATTTTGTCTGATATATGCTATATTTTTTAATACATTAATTGATAAGATGAAACTTAAACTGCTTTGAAGATTGTTTGTCTGTGGGTTCTGAAATCCATGCAACACCAAGAGGCCCTGAGTCCAACCATCAAGACATTAATATATGTTTTATTAACTACGATTTTATTACAATTTTCTTACCAATTCATTAATAGCATTTTAGACAGAGCCCGGGAATTTATAAGGGGACACCTGTTATATCATCATCTACGAATTGCACTAAAATTGTATGGAAACTTATCACTTTTAAATTAATTTTATTTAATTGAATTTAATATTTTAAGCCGAAACTTCTATTAAGAAATTATTGATTTTTTTATTGAATCATTGCTCAGATTAAGCCTCTCAAACGCATTAACAGACTCAGATTTTTTTTTTTTTTTTTTTATGTATACTTCCTATAACTATACGATACTGCGATATGAAATTAACCTACACTCGTTACTCACACACCAAAAGTTTAGTTTTACATAACAATAAAATATATATTTTATAAAAATCATTGAAATAAATAACAGGAAAACTCGGAGATAACTTCAAGTAAAATAATTTGCCTTGGCAAATTATAACTCATAACAATAATAATTCAGATTTAAAATTGTGTCAATGTTATGTCTCCTTCTCGTAATGACAGCGTTATATTATCTTATTTTTTTATGTTAAATAATTGACAACAGTAGTTTTCGCGCTACGATGCACCACGGTGCACAGGAGGTCAAGATAATTTGTTTACTTGGCGGAGAATGAAATCTGTTTACATAAAAGCACTGGGAAGATGTAATGTCATGGTACATGGTTTGAATAAGTCTATAATTATCGTGATATCGCAGTAAGGACCGTGTGAATGTAAATTTAGTTTAAAGTTCGAAATGAAATTGCCGCCCTTGTACACTTTCCGTATTATTTTGGTTTTTTTTAAACTTTTCAGATTAGAATATAATAGCAGTTTTACCAATAAACCAAGTTGTAAGTACCGTTACCATTACTATATATGTCGCGTAAGCCATGTACGGCTTATGTAGCTCTTAGACTCAGGTGGGCTTTTCGAAATCAATAAAACAAAAATATTTTCTCCAAATTGATTAATTTTCAATTAATAAATTCGCACACACACACTCTGTTGCAATTTTATAAAAAAATATTTTATAATGAACTAGTGTAACCCGTTCACGGTTTTCTGCGATTATCGATACTTGGATGGTTTTTTTATTTTATTTTAATAAAACTATTATGGAGTCACTTGTCATACGTTCATGGCATTATGACAGAAATGTTCTCTAGAGCTCCAAAACACCTGCAGGCTTCATCATAATCGGGTGAATAACTTAGGAACGCATAGAGGACGTACATTCATAAATACATTTATTCTTGAAGTTCATTTATATCGATAGATACTTATTTGATGCATTTAAACTTGCGCCTGAAGTTTGACAAAGAGCAAAATGCTGCGACCACATATTGTAAGTACCCTAACTATCCCGCGTCACCCGCCTGTTAATCTGCTGTATCACTCAAGAGATCGCAAGTTCAAGTTACAGAGTTACTTTACAAGAGAATTAGAGAGTACATCGAAGAGTTCACGAGTACTCACATCTGGGAGTTTTTTTTGGCAAAATATACAATTAATAAGGTAGAGTTTCTCGCGTAACGGTGGAAATTCATGATCGATTAAAAATGTTTGAGCGTATTCTGCTAATCTGACAATGTCCGCTAATTATAAACTACAAAGAGCAGTACACAACAACTTGTCTGTATTATTGACATTGACGTTATGCATTAACGATAGCGACTGTTTAAAATCTTGTGTCTTAAATGGCAATAAAAATCACTTTTTGTTAGCAAATTAGATGAACTACTCAATGTTAATTAGATAAGTAGTTAATGATCGGCGCAACTAGTTAGGTTGGTATCATTTTAATATATAAAGTTATTATTTTTCTTTCAAAAACGTGATATCACAATATAATAACTACATAAGTTAGAACTTACTTGAAACACGCTCCAGAACTTGAAGGAGCCTTCGTTGATTATCCAATCGTAGTAGCCAGCCCATGGGTCGGTATACCTGCCTTGCTTCATCGGCTTTGCAGTCGTTGTGGTCGGGTCGTGGTCGTGATAGTGGTGCTCATCATAATAGTCTTCGAGTCCTCGTCCGGTTTCAACTAAAGTATTGTTCGAAGGCTTTCTCCTTTTCAACTGAAATAGACATTTCGACTCTTCGTTAGATTTTTTTATTGCTTCAATGGGTAGACGAGTTCACACGGCCCACCTGGTGTGAAGTGGTTACCGGATCCTATAGACATCTACAACGTAAATGCCGCCACCCACCTTGAAACATGAGTTCTAAGTCTCAGTTTTTAGAGTACAACGGCTGCACAGCCCTTCAAACCGAAACGCATTACTGCTTCACGGCAGAAATAGGCAGAGTGGTTGTACCTACCCATGCGGACTAACAAATCAAATCAAAATCAAATCAAAATTTTTTTATTCAACATAAATGAAAGTACATACTTGTTGAACGTCAAAAGAACTACCGCCAATTCACAAGAACTAGCCTCCGTCCTGAGAAGAATTGGCAAGAAACTCAGCGGGCATGTTTTTTTTTTTTAATATTTGATTATTATTTTTTTATTAGAATTTTTTAAATATTCATTTTTACATGAGTATAATAACATAACATTTATTACAATATTGAAATGCCCGGAGCAAGCAACTCATTCCCACTTTGTGCAATCTTCTAGATAATCATTGACTTTATAGTAAGCTTTATTGCACAGATGTTCTTTAATAGTTTTCTTAAACCTATTTATATGTAGGTTCTGAACATCTTGTGGGATTTTGTTGTACAGGCGCACAAGACCAGTAATTACGCAAATTACAATTTTGCAGTTTCGATTTTTTTACACGATGCTATTCCTTCACCGTGGAAGTCAATAGTCAACATTTGTTAAGTACGTAATTCATTGGAAAAATTGGTACTCGCCGGCGGGATTCGAACTCCGATGCATCGCTACATACGAATGCACCGGGCGCCTTATCCTTTAGGCCACGACGAATTACGATTAAAATATCAAGAGTACGGTATTTACTTCGTACAGGTTTCGAAAAAAAACGAATTCCGAGGCTAAAACGGCTATAAACTACAATCCTAACAAAAATATATAAATAATGCTCGTTGGAGTACTTGGATTTCTTGAACCCGCAATGTAACGCGAAGGCAGATGACCTCCACAGTTCTCGACACTATACGCTAAAGTTGTAACTGACTACAAATAACAAAGAAAAGATACGTCAATGCTTTGTAGATAAAATGCTGACAGGGATCACCAGCAACACCTGTCTTCGCAACAGATCCTATACTATATCGATGCACTCATCACAAATGAAAAACAATAGCTGTATTCGGACCCAACTTAAAGATTTATCATTTTGAGATTCATATTTCTAAAAGTCTGTCCGATGACCCCTGATCAACAGGAGTCCGTGGGACCACCGCACCAGATATTTTTAAAAGCTGTACAAAACACGAATGGTCTTGTTTAAAGAAATCAGATGGAACAAACCAATACGACCACTCATTTTATTTTTGAACTCCCTGACACTAAGTACAGTTTATAATTTTACTGCATTTTTTTAAAAATCTCGAAAATCCCTGTTTAAATTAGCATACAAAGAAACTATTTGTTATTATAAGTTTGCTAGTCGTTGTTGGTTCAATTTACATGAACATGTCAACCAAACGTGTATTTCGTTCAAACAAGGGTGTCTAACCGATCAGCTATAACACTGGGTCACCTAGTTAAAAAGAAACTGTATTTTGACCTACTTTATGTCGTACACTTTAATTTGAATATTTTATAAAATAGATTACATACATTTCTGTAGACACACGCACTTAAATTTAGTACAAATCTATATTATTAAATTAAATAAGAGGATTTCTTTTTTATTGAAATCGAATTGATCCTTTGATTTGAAAATTAATAGAAGAGAAGCTATAGCATTCATGAAGTCGTCGTGGCCTAAAGGATAAGACGGTGCATTTGCATCTAGCGATGCACCGGTACACCGAATCCCACTGGCAAGTACTAATTTTTCTAACGAAATACGTACTTAACAAATGTTCACGATTGACTTCCACGGTGAACAAATAACATCTTGTAATAAAATCAAACCCGCAAAATTACAATTTGCGTAATTACTGGCGGTAGGACGTCTTGTGAGTCCGCACGGGTCGGTACCACCAGCCTGCCTATTTTTTGCCGTGAAGCATTAATTCGTTTCGGTTTGAAGTGTGGGTAGACGTTGTTATATACTGAAACTTTAGAACTCTTATCTCAGGGTAGGTGGCGACATTTACATTGTAGATGTCTATGGGCTCCGGTAACCACTTAACATCAGGTGGGCCGTGAGATCGTCCACCCACCTATGCAATCAAATAAAAAGAAGCACTTTACTTCAATGTCAAAAAATCAACAATCAATTAAATACAATAATCAATCATTTAAAATAATTAAATTATAATACGTTTACTTACAATAGCAGCAGTTGAGTTTGCAGCGGGTGAAATTGCCTTGGTCATTGCACGTTGCTTATTCATTTTGTTCACGACCTCTAAAATAGTTTTCAGTGCTGCCAAAATATATTGAGAGGGCGCTATACTAGATCCACCGGAAACTGAATCGTCGGAGGCAGCAACTGCTTCGTTATTCTCATATGGATCATCGTTAGGACTACAAAAGTAATTAAAATAATTTATTTAAACCAGAAACATGGAATCAGTCCTATCCTAGCACAAGAGGCGAATTAACTTTGCTTTCGTTAAAAAATTTAAAGAAAGAACTTAAATATTCTAAAACACGGCTGGAACTGACCGTAGACTGTACCTTTAAACAATCAATTCTTGTATTTATATAATAATATATATATTTATAATCTGAATCTCGGAAACGGCTCCAACGATTTTTATAAAATTTAGTATACAAGGGATTTCGGGAGCGATAAATCGATCTAGCTACGATTTATTTTCAGAAAATGTTGTTTTATTCGTGTTTTCAATAATCATCTCTTCCCGACATCTATTGGCGAATAATAATACAATTTTTCTTAATTGAGGGCAACTAACCGCTTTAAAGACACAACAAGATGGCATTATCAAAAAAAAAAACCGAGCAAAACTCGGTCATAATCTAGTTTGAAAATAAAGCCATGACATATGACATAAGAATTGTATGTAATACTCACTGCAAAGGAATATATTTGCGATTGTAAGGCGGAGTGTACGGTGTAGCGGTGTCGTAGAGCGCTGCTTTGACAGCGCCCGCCCACAGCGCGAAAGCAAGGGCCCCAACCCACACAATCCCATGACAAGACAACAACATTACCCCTTTCGATACCATCTCAAATTAAATACTATTCAGTCTTCTCGGCGACAGTATTTTATATTTCGTTTCTCTTATTTCACTTAAATTTTACAAATCAATGTTCATTGTCCAGTAGCAGGAAGACGACTGACTGATTTGTAAACTAACGCCCCAGTTAACAACGTACACCAGATCATCTGAAATGTGAAAATTAAACAAGTCGTGTGCAAGTTGGTCTCTCGGCAGTGGTGTCAATTTAATTTGAGTAGTTATGTGGGCGTTGTCATAGTGAAAGCTAGCATAATTCGAGCGCACTAATAAAAATTGATCGTTAAAAACCAACTGTGAGAAAATTCGTACATTAAAAACCAACTTTGAGAAAATTGTAAGCATTTATTATTCTTCTTAGAAAAAAATCTTGGCATGGTTTGATCGATTCGATCGATTCGATCGACAACTTTATAATATACAAGCGACCCGCTCCGGCTCAGTTCGGGTCTTTAACAAAAATTTCAACGATATTTGACGTTGTTTTATTTTTTTAAATAAAATAACACTTATAGCGGCTTAACTATAACAATTAGACATATGCATAAGTCGTCGTGACCTAAAGGATAAGACGCTCGGTGCATTCGTATGTAGCGATTCACCGATGTTCGAATCCCGCAGGTGGGTACCAATTTTTCTAATGAAATACGTACTCAACAAATGTTCACGATTGACTTCCACGGTGAAGGAATAACATCGTGTAATAAAAACCAAACCCGCAAAAATTATAATTTGCGTAATCACTGGTGGTAGGACCTCTTGGGAGTCCTCACGGGTAGGTACCACCACCCCGCCTATTTCCACCGTGAAGCAGTAATGCGTTTCGGTCTGAAGGGTGGGGCAGCCGTTGTAACTGTACTTGAGAACTTAGAACTTATATCTCAAGGTGGGTGGCGCATTTACGTTGTGGATGTCTATGGGCTCCAGTAACCACTTAACACCAGGTGGGCTGTGAGCTCGTCCACCTGTCTAAGCAATAAAAAAATATATATTTTGTTCCCCCAACAACAGCGCATTTTTCGAATTTCTATTCGGTTCATTTATTTTTTCTTTTCGATCTCCGATCTATGATCGACTATACCGTTTGCTTGAGATACAAGCACATTTATTTCATTACACGTATTTATAATATTTTGAAATGTTGAGTAATGTGTACAAAAAGTGACTGCCACATATTATATGTATCTATTATTCAATGCGTGTAAGCACCTTTATCTGATAAAAGATACTTGAAATTCTGAACTCACCAAAGATGATACCAATTTACTTCATGTGGGCATCGCGATAAAACAACAATGCTGCTTTACCTTTTATTTTTATTTTTAGGGGCAAATAATTGTGAAGGATTATCAAGAATAGATCCTTTAGTTGATACAAATGTCGGCTTAATACGAGGAATCAGAGCTGTCGACGGCGAATACTCCATGTTCATGGGAATACCATATGGAATTGTCGATGTGAATAATCCATTTGGGGTAAGTTAAAAATATTTAAAATATTTTAATCTAGCGAAGATCTAATATTATTGAATATTTAATATCAATTACTAATATTATAATTTATTAATACTTATCTAAAATGATATTACTACAGTTTCTAAACTGATATTAAAATTAGTCAAGAAACCCATAATTCAATCAATTTCATTTCATTTCTGACGATTTTGATAATATGCATGAGTGTTCAAGAGTTTCCGCAATATCTGCTTTTATCAATAATCTTCTATCTTCTTCTTCTATATATGTATATAAAAATGAATTGCTGTTCGTTAGTCTCGCTAAAACTCGAGAACGGCTGGACCGATTTGGCTAATTTTGGTCTTGAATTATCCGTGGAAGTCCAGGGAAGGTTTAAAAGATGAAAAAATATGAAAATGCTCGGAATTAAATAAAAAAACAATTTTGTTTTTCCTTTGATGTTTATTTTATACAAAAGTTTAGGTCTTTTATTTAACGATTGAGGCACTACGAAGTGTGCCGGGTCAGCTAGTTTTAAATAAATAGCAATTGTTTGTAAAATTAACCACTTTCTCTTTTCGAAGCCCGCAACTCCTCACCCGGGATTCGACAACGTCTTCGAAGCTTTTGACGACTCCGCCATATGTCCACAAATCGAAGAATTCAATAACACGATAGTTGGAGCCCTTGATTGCCTTCATCTGAATATCTATGTTCCGAATTCAGCTACATCACGAAATCGTCTACCCGTGCTTGTTTGGATCCACGGTGGTGGTTTTTCTGTAGGATTTTCGGGAAGGTACCTTTATGGACCGAAGTACTTAGTTCGACACGATATTATTTTAGTAACTTTAAACTACCGCCTCGGCCCTTATGGGTTTATGTGTCTTAACACACCCGAGATCTCGGGTAATCAGGGTCTCAAAGATCAGTACATGGCCCTTAAATGGATAAAAAATAATATAAACGCTTTTGGAGGGGACGCCAATAGTATAACTATTTTCGGAGAAAGTGCTGGTGGCGCTTCAGTTGATTTACATGTCCATTTTGACGAAGAAAGATTGTTCGATAAAGTTATTATGCAAAGTGGGACCTCCAGAGGCCCTTGGGTGATACAAGAACCTGACTTGTCGGCTCCTAAGAAGATTGCCAATTATTTAGGTTATACAACCGACGACATAAACGACGCCGTATCATTCCTATCAACAGTCGATACGAAATTGATCATTGCATCAGCATCTGAATTAAACTTATCGTTTCGACCTTGTGTTGAACAAGACACTTCCGAAAGATTGATTAGTGATTATCCAATAAACGTGGCACCTAAAATGAAAAATATTCCGGTCCTTATAGGCTACAATGACCACGAATGGTTAGCACAATACCTGAACAAAGATACTTCTTTTTACGAGGGATTAAATAATAAGTTTTATGAATACCTTCAGTCTTTTTTTAACTTCGACGATGAGCAACTTTCTGAAATGGAAAAAATTGTACGACAATTTTACACTGGTGACGAAGCAATTGACGAAGAATCCATGTGGCATGTTGTTGATTTTGACTCAGACATAATGTTCAACTATCCTACAGAAATTTCAATAAAAGAGTATATTGACAACGGCGCCGAAACGGTATTCTTTTACATATTTTCGTATGTCGGAGAAAAAAACTTCGTTAAAGATAGACTTAACATAACCGTTGGTGGTGCCGTGCACGCTGACGAAATTGGATATTTATTTGACTTATCTTACGACACTCAAATACCTTCAGCGGAAGATCAGCTTACGATAGATCGAATCACTACATTGTGGACGAATTTTGTAAAATACGGGTAAGATAGCGATTCTAGAAACTAGTGTCATTTAAAATCATAGCTTTATTGCTTTTTATTTTAATACATTTTATTTTTATTGTAGAAATCCAACTCCAGATACTTCGGATTTACTTCCAGTTCAATGGACACCAGTTACTAAAACAACAAGACCCTATTTAAATATAAATACGGACCTCGACATACAGAAAAGACCTTTCCATAAAAGAATCGCCTTTTGGGATATGTTCTACAAATTAAATTATGAGTTCCAAAAAGGCCTCCGAAATGACAAACAGTAAAAGTGGAAGACCAGTTAAAATGGCAATAGTATTAGGCGCTGAAAATTTTATATTAAGCATATAAATGCTAATGACCAACAGAAAAAAATCTGTACTCTGTGAACCAATGACAATAGAAATAGAAAAAAATAGTACGCACCAAATTTCTTTCAGTTTCTTTTAAATCTAAAGCCTGTTACAATCAAATTTAATGTGATGCTATCATTAAACACGCAAACATATTTTGAAATTATTAGGTCTAAATTATAATTGTTTCTAATACGCTATTAAAATCAATACAATATTATGGTTATACTTTCACTAAAGATCATTTTTCTCTGTTTCATAAAACCGTTTTACAGATATCCTCTAGTTTTCATTCTTGTTGAAAACTCTAAATTTTCCAAAAATAAATCCATCCCAGTGCCATTTCTCTTATGTACTCACTAACCTCGTTTTCGATATTCTTAACACAATCTTCGACAGTGAACTCGATATATGTATGCAATTCGCGTTGTAATTTTATATAAATTTTCAGTCTTCTAAGTAAATTAACACAAAGATGCTAACGGTGTCATTATAGTTTTTTTTTTTGTGGAGCGATTTCTATTTCTATGCATGTTGGCGAGAATATGAAACACTTGTATGTCTAAAATACAGGTACATAAAGCGGTTCACTTAGGACAGTTTTACGGTTTAGTTTGAAAATTTACATGTTTTTTATTGTTTTCAATCCAGGTACCTAATTTTTTGGAAAAACTGTACAAGTTTTTGGTCGACTGTGCCTTTGTCTTTTAATCGCAATGCCTCTTTAACCATTTACTACAACGCAAAGATAAGGATTTTTTTTTGTTGGAACGAAGTTCCTTACGGCAGGCTTGGAGGGAATAGGGATTTTGCTGCGCGACCCAACTGAAAAAAATGTGATAGTAAAACCGTAAGAAAAAATCCGTGGAAAAAAGTGCGTAGCCGAAGGAACTTCGTTCCTACCTGGTGTCCCACGACACCACATAATTAGTTTTTTTTGTTTTATATTTCTATCTTAAAAAGGGAAAGCCGTAAACAGTTCAAGCAGGTCGTTCGTGGACTTGATATTCTCTAGTTGTTTTGGTCCAGTATAGTTCTTCTCTACCTCTTTTACAGATCGCTTTCTTATCATTTGTCTACCTCACTATGTAAAGAATTGCTTGTGAAGCACAACATTGCTTAGCTCACAGCCCACCTGATGTTAAGTGGTTACTGGAGCCCATAGACATCTACAACGTAAATTCGCCACCCACCTCGAGACATAAGTTCTAAGGTCTCAGTATAGTTACAACGGCTACCCCACCCTTCGAACCGAAACGCATTACTGCTTCACGGCGGAAATAGGCGAGATGGTGGTACCTACCCGTGCGGACTCCCAAGAGGTCCTACCACCAGTGATTACGCAAATTATAATTTTGCGGGTTTGATTTTTATTACACGATGTTATTCCTTCACCGTGGAAGTCAATCGTGAACATTTGTTGAGTACGTATTTCATTAGAAAAATTGGTACCCGCCTGCGGGATTCGAACACCGGTGCATCGCTTCATNCCCAAGAGGTCCTACCACCAGTGATTACGCAAATTATAATTTTGCGGGTTTGATTTTTATTACACGATGTTATTCCTTCACCGTGGAAGTCAATCGTGAACATTTGTTGAGTACGTATTTCATTAGAAAAATTGGTACCCGCCTGCGGGATTCGAACACCGGTGCATCGCTTCATACGAATGCACCGGACGTCTTATCCTTTAGGCCAAGACGACTTCATAATCGTAAAATGTCTCCAACCTCTCTTTGTATAAAGAAATAAATAGTTCATCTGATATTAGATTATATAAATGTAACAAACAGGGTAAGAAATCAATAAGAATCACGTAAGATATTAACTACGAAGTTACTTTCATAGTTTACCAAAAAAGCAAAAATTCAGTCAAGTAGATATCTGTATCATTTGAGTATCTTTGTTAAGATTAGATGTTCAATATTCAAGATTATTCACACACTTTTTTCTTTTAATTTCGTTCCGTGACTCGAAAGAGTTCCGGTTTAAAACTATTGTCTTTATAATGATTATTATTTAGGAAAAAAATCCCAAAAAAAATTTTTTTTTTATTATATTATTATATTAAAAAGTTTAGAATAACTAAGTAGTATTCACTCAGTGATCGAAATTAAGTCGCAATCACTGGCATCTCAAAAAATATATATAATAAGTTTATGTATCGCATTTGTTTTGTTACTGACATTTTGAAAGATAAATGACTAGGTATTCCCAAAAAATATATTTGATAACGATAAAGCTCTAGATAAACATTAAAAAAAAGGAAAAAAGAGATACGAGTAATACATACAAAGGAAATAATAGCACTGAACTATTTTTTACAGCATTTTATGTTCAGAAGATAAAAAAGTATTCATATTATCTTACCAAATTTACAATAATATAAAGTATGATTTTAAAATATTATCGCTTTAGTATGTTATTAGTATTATGGTGTAATAGGTAAAAAGGAAAAAAACTTTCTTAATAATATAAAACCAGATTTAATTCTAATAGGATTGTCATAATGATACACTTTGAGCAATAATACACGTTGTAAAGAAAACAAAACTTATCATAGTTGTAATAATGAACACCATTCAAAAGTGCACGTAGATCAGACGAAATCACTTGTTTTAAATGTGTCCAGTTTGCAACTAAATAGCCTAACATCTATTATTTACAATAAAACAAAATAAGGATATTTTTTTATGAATTCATTGTTCTTCTTACTTTTTCTTTTTATCCATATATTTTTCTGCAGCTGAAGCGATCGCGTGCGTGACCTTTCCAGTAATTTCATGTATGTTTTCATTGGAAAGGTCCCACGAATCCACAGAGCGCTTAGAGAAAAAAGATGCAGTTGTACCATTAGGCCGCCAACTATTTGGGTATACAATCTTGTGACGAAGGACTGCTTTGATTATAAGAGCACCCACGTATATAATAAAATAGACACTGAAATACAAGGGCAGATAGTATAACTTCTTTCCTAAATAATAATAGCTGTATCGGTTTACTCGAGGTTGTTCTGTTGTAGTTGTAGTTGTTGGATGGGGATGATGATGGTGATGATAGTCGTGATCGTCAAAATCATGATGAAATTTGAAATCTCCAGGAAAATCGTGAGGAAAACCTTGGTCAATCGAAGCACCAGCATCCATAGATGGACCATGACCGTAAGGCAGTGGAGGAGGTGCCATATCAGTCCCTTTTATGTCGCTTCCACCCTTTGCATCACTCATACCATCATGTGGCTTATTATAAATGAGTTCAGGATAGTCTGAGTCGTGATGGTCATTGTTTGTAGGGACGTGACTATGAAGTGGGTGATTGTGTGGCATGTGATCATCCGACATAGAAGGGGGTTCAGGTTTGCTGTAAACATATCCTTGAAATTCAGGCTTTTCATCCGAACTCAATGCTGGGGGTGCATCAAGAGTAAGTGACGGTTTATTGTATGAATAGCCGTTGAAAGGTTTTGTCTTCATTGGGGGAACAGTTGGTAAAAATTGCGTCGGAGGTTGCTGGTAGTGATATCCAAGGTCAGTTGGAGGTCCCATATCATCAGACGGTGGTAAAATCGCGTCAGAGCTGTCAGATGAATCAATAATTGGAGGCTGATACATGGTAATAACTGGTTTTGACACAGGTAGAGATGGAAGCGGTGAAGCTGCTGGAGGCGCAGGACTGGGGTTCGGAGCTGGGGCAGAAGCATAAGGAGGGAACGACTCATAACTAGAAGGAGCCGGGAAATCGTTATCTGTCAGTTTTGGTGGAGGGGGTGGTGGTGGAACTAGGTTTGCAACTGCCTTCTCAGGTGCTGAGTATCCACCAGATTGTTTAGAATTTCCACCATACGGTTGTGGAAGGTAAGGTTGTGCTGGATTATAACGATCTATCGGTTGACGAATAGGGACCACGTCTTGTGCTTCTCCTCTCACCGGATTCTTAACATCTCGAAAATCATTTAAATTAAACATGTTGTTCCCGGTTTTGCTATGACCTGAAGGTTTCTTTAAGTCTTTCACTTGAAATGGTTTCAGGTTCACATAAGGAAATCTAAATTTCGGTTCTGTACGAATAGCACGAGACTCGTTTTCTGCACCGTTTCCAGGATTTGACGTAAATCTGAAAACAAATCGTGGTTATACTTTGAAAATAAACTTAATCTACAAGGAAAGTTTTTAATGTAAATACGTTATTCATTTCGCTACTTTTTATGTTGTTTTATCTAAAAATAATTCAAAATTTAATAAAAATTTAAGATTTGATTTTTAATATCTGTTACCAAAGAGTTTACTTGATTAACGTAGATGTAATTAATGTAATAACAAGTGACGTAGATTATGTAAAATATTTTACCCTGGTAAAGCAAAATTTTCATCGAGAGGTACTTGTCCTTCGTTGCCGCTATTTTCTGATTGTTCTGTATGATTGTCCATATTTCCATCCTGATTTGCATCTTCAGTATTTTCGTCTGCAACAACTTCTTCCTCCCACTTTCCAGCGTATTCATCGTATTTTTGGTTATCAATTATATGCCAAATATTTTCTACATTCATCGGGTTTGATGTAGTTGTTGTGGTTGTTGGAGAAGCGGTACTCGTAGTAGTCTTAATAGTTGTAGAAGGAACGTATACAGGAACGGGTTCATTATTATACAAATTATTGTACATAGAAAAATAGTCGGTCGAATCACTTGACGTTGGTTGTGTGTCCTTATTCTCGTCTGCCTTGACAGGTAATCCATAGTTTACAACACGAGTTACCTCGTCGGTTTCTTCATCTGGCACATAAATAGGTCTTAATATCGATTTCACTGTAGACGTCGAGTCGATTTTTTCCTTCTCTAAAAGTTTACGAATTGATTTCACGTTACTGCCAGATTCAAACTCAGCAAAAATTAAGTCCGGAGTCTTCGTTTTTTCGGTCGTAGTTGAAGTCGATGAACTTTCGTTCTTAGGCGAATCCATTCTTCTTATCCAGTTATGGTAATAAAACGGTGCTGATCTACCTTCATCGCTATTAGGTGGTCGCGGAGAGGGCGTCACAACGTACACTAAAGGTCCCGGCAACTTTAAAGCGTTTAGATCGCGTTGTAAAATGCAAACCAGCAACACAGAAAATGTTATTCTTTTCATTTTCATTTAAGTTACTGCATCGGGGTTGTAAATGAGTGTTCCCTTCAAGCACTGACTACAGAATGAAACTTATAAGTTGATATTTTCATATACTCGCACAGTACACGAAGTGAAACTGCGATAATTTTTAGCGGTACTCAAATATGTAGAACGGCTGTAACACGATTTGAATGACCCGAACCCGACTTACAATTTACACTATTATCATGCTCATCAATATCTCTCCCGAGTAAGGTTTTGTAGAAAGTGTCACATATTTGTGTAAAATATTTAGAACGACATCAGTCGAAAGTCGTTTATTACACGTGGAATAATTGATTTTACACATATATATTTTTAGGTTTAAGTTTTAAATTACACTAAATTTCCATAATTAAAAAAATATATTTAATAGACAATATTAACTCAATTTACTTAGTCTGGCCATAAATACTGTTACAATTAAAAATAAAGAAAATATTATAGTTGAATTTGGAATCTGTCATTTTTATAAATATGATTGCTCATTGAGTTTTCTCATTTTGGCGCCAATACATTGTACAATATTTTGCGATATTAAAATAGAGTGGGGTGATAAAGAGAAGTGATTGCATTACACAAAGTAGGTATGGAGCCAAATGCAATTTTCAAAACTCTCCATACGCTTGGTATTAGTAAAATGTTTGTGTACCGGGCTATCAATAGGTGCAATGAGACCTCCTCTGTTTGTGACAGAAAAAGATCTGGCCGTCCACGTAGTGTTCGTACGAAAAAGGTGGTCAAAGCAGTAAGGGAAAGAATTCGAAGAAATCCTGTCCGAAAGCAAAAGATTTTATCTCGGGAGATGAAGATAGCATCTAGAACCATGTCGCGTCTTTTAAAAGATGACTTAGGATTTGCGGCATATAAGAGACGTACTGGTCATTTCCTGATAATTTAAAAGAGAATAGGATGGTAAAATCGGAACAACTACTGAAGCGGTACGCAAAGGGAGGTCATAGAAAAAATTTGTTTACGGATGAGAAAATTTTTACAATTGAGCAACATTTTAACAAACAAAATGACCGTATTTATGCTCAAAGCTCTAAGGAAGCTTCCCAATTAGTCGACAGAGTGCAACGTGGGCACTATCCGACTTCAGTGATGGATTGGTGGGGTATTAGCTATGAAGGAGTGACTGAGCCATACTTTTGTGAAAAAGGTATCAAAACATCGGCACAAGTGTATCAAGATACCATTCTTGAGAAGGTAGTAAAGCCCCTTATCAACACCATGTTCAATAATCAAGAATGGTCCTTCCAGCAAGACTCAGCGCCAGATCATAAAGCTCGGTCTACGCAGTCTTGGTTGGAAACGAACGTTTCGGACTTCATCAGAGCTGAGGACTGGCCGTCGTCTAGTCCCGATCTTAATCCGCTGGATTATGATTTATGGTCAGTTTTAGAGAGTACGGCTTGCTCTAAACGCCATGATAATTTGGAGTCCCTAAAACAATCCGTACGATTGGCAATGAAAAATTTTCCCATGGAGAGAGTGCGTGCTTCTATTGATAACTGGCCTCAACGTTTAAAGGACTGTATTGCAGCCAATGGAGACCACTTCGAATAAGCTTCTTATAGTTTAAATTGTTTTATATTTATGTATTAAACTAACACACTGTAAAAGTAATAAATGTTATTTGCAATAGATTTTTTTTATTTTTAATTGTAACAGTATTTATGGCCAGACTAAGTATACAAACGACATACTTATTTCAGTATAATCGGTTCGAAATAGAGTTTTTCATATTTTAATAACGCACTCCCGTTATTTTTAATCATAATTTATTTTAATTTATTCTTAATACGTACGTGCCTTTTTGTAGCTAGTGAATCAATCCAAATGCTGTAAAAAAATTGGGGCTTGGGGATATTTGCGATCTGGGGTTATCATGACGAAAAACCACAACTTAATATCACAAGTCAACGATCTTTTCAAAAAACGTTTCATTTTCAGTGCGTTTCAGTAAAGAATCTCAAATACCAGTCATTAGGTTTCTTTCAGTGAGCTCTTGAGGTAACAAAATATCAACTGTTTTTGTATATTCAAACGTTTTCAAATTGTCCACAACTGCTTCGTGGGCGAACTCAAGCTCCACCTATGTCACAGCTGTTAATATCTTATTTGAGTTTTTATCGAATTTATTCGTATCGGGTTGACCAGAGCGAGTCCTTGGACATCAACATTCCCGGAACTGAAAACTTGCTTGAACCATTTTTGTACTGCTCTTACTGGCACTACGTTATTCCCATAAATGCCATAAAATTCCTGGTTTGTGTCGCATTTGTAATAAAACTACAAAATATATAACTTTTTTAGTTAGATGCAATAATTTAGGCGGACAGTAAAACCAAAATAAAAACGGCGAAAAACCGTTTTCACTTTTTTGTATCCAAATTGATAGTAATTTTATGGTAGCCAGACAGATCCAAATAGGGTGACACCACTTATTTTCTTTCATATTAGGGGTTAAAGTATGAAATTGCCGATTTGTACTGAAAAATTGAAATTCGTTATTTTTTATTTAACATAATATATATTATACAAAATATCTACCATTATTATCTATATATTTCTGCCATCTAATAGGAAGATCATTTATGCCTTTGCGATATAGCTCTGGTGATCTAGATTCTACAAACTGTGGGAAAGCATTTTGTACTGCCTCCTGGGAAGAAAACTTTTTATCACGTAGAAAATTGTCCAAATCACGTTAAAAATGGTAGTCCGTTGGAGCAAGGTCTGGCGAATACGGAGGGTGACGAATGGTTTCTAATTGCAGTTCCTCTGGAGTTAAAACGGTTTGTCGTGCTGTATGAGGTCTCGCGATATCATGGAGCAATAATGGTGAAGATCGATTCATGAATCGGGGCTGTTTCACTGCAAGTTTTGCTGTCATTGTTCAGAGTTCGGCACAGTAGACATCTGCCGTTATTGCTTGACCATATCGGAGAAAACTATAGTGAATAACACCATGCTGAGACCACCAAATAGTTACCATTACCTTTTTAATGGTAGGCTTTGCTTTAGGACATTGTTGTGGCGTTTAACCTGGGGTCAGCCATTGTATTTTTCGCTTACGGTTATCGTAAAGACACCACTTTGTCACAATTCGATCCAATGTTCCTTTTTTCTGTATCTATTCAACAAGGCAACACAGGTTCCAACACGCGTTTCTTTCAGCAGATCAGTAAAATCATGAGGCATCCATTTTTCATATTTTTTTATTTTATTGATTTGACGCACATGAGTCAATATTGTTGGTAAGGTTAAATCATGCCGCTAATTCCTGGGTATTTTGTTCGGATCAGCTCTCCGATCCAGCATCTCTTTCAATTCATTGTTATTCAAATGTCTTCCACGTGGTTCGTTCCTCAAATCAAAATTTCCATCACGAAAGCGTTTAAACCAAAATCGCACGGCGCGTTCATTAGCAGTCCCCTTTCCAAACGCAACATTGATATTGCGAGCTGCTTCTGCAGCGTTTGTTCTGGGTCGGAACTCGTATTCAAAAATCACTCGAATTTTCGAAGTATCCATCTTTCTCGTCTAAGCTGGATAAAGAAAAACAACTGAATGTCGATAATCGAATATTGCACTTTTTTTAAAAGAAGAACCTCATAGGTACCATTTGAAAAAAGTTTCACTCAAAAATCTCAAACCATGAAGGTTCTATGTCAATTTGAACTACCTATTACAATAGAACGGGAATTTCATACTTTAACTCCTATTATATTTTTTGTAGTCTTATCACTTAAATTAGTAAACTAGTATTGTAGGTATCCTCGCTTGTCATCCGCTGTCGTTGTCATCGTGAACTAAAGAATAAAACGCCCGATTTACTCGTAACTAACGATGGGACCGTCGGTTTTCAAATATCGCAAGTAAGTATAATATCAATTATTCTCAGGAAATACGCACTTACTAAATTTATACGAACGGCGTTTGCGATTGAGAAATTACATCTTGTAATAAAAATCAAACCCGCAAAGTTTATAGTGTGCACAATTACTGATACTTGGGCGTATTTTATGTCCACGTTGGTAGGCAATACTTTTTGCCGTTAAGCCTTCCTCCCGCGAAGCAGGCATGCGTTCCCATTTAAAGGGCGGGACACCCCTTCTATAATGCAATTAAGACTTCAACCTCATGTCTTAAAGGTGGGACCTCCAAAATACAGCTAACATGACTATGAAAACGTTTTTCCGATATAAGTTTTTAATTTCTTTGTTCGGGTATTCTTCATTCTTACTCATCACCTGTGGTGATTTTGCGTAGATAAATGCTTTCCAGTGCCATAATGTCCAAAGGCCCCAAGCATATGATTGAGCTGACAAAGGCTGTAACTATACTCAACACAACACACTTTAAGAACGTTTGATTTGATCACGACCTAGATAAAATAAAATACCCACGTTAAGTACGCAAAGGCTTGACTGTGCCCCTGGCGTTGCTGATGTCTATGAATATCGGTAACCATCAGTGCATTCACCTTCGGAAAGTAACCTGTAAAAACTAAGGAGAGCAATAAAACAACACAAACAGTCATATACTTTTATTCTAAGCAATCTAAAATTTACAATCAAAATAACTATTTAATAAATAATATACATTTAACACTAAATTTAATTTCTGTACTATTGGAGATTTATATCACATACGTACTTTGTCAGGTGCTCATCATTTCGTTTCGTCTTTCTTTGATCCGTTCGCGCACTCGGTTTCGTTGTAAGCGGGATTTTCGACGCCGGAGTCACTACCGCCATCTGTACATTCCGCTACTAACTTTCTGTGATTTAAGTCTAGTACTTTGTCATTCTCAAATTTGTCAGTAGCGACATCTAGTGGAGTTGAAGTTTTGTCGGAACCTTTTACCCCCTCGACATCTGTTGGCTGTGGTTTGCAGATGTCGTTGTTCACGCTGGCAGGTCGCTTTCCAATATAGAATTTATTGAATAGATAGTACATACAACCGGTGACTAAAGTGGCACCGGCAAAAATTTGATATGTTGGCCTCGTGCCGAAGAACTTCATGAGATATCCGCCTATTAAGCTGCCAGCTCCTTTACCTGAAGTTTGGAATTATTATTAATGATTGTGTAAATAAAATACAAGCTTGTAAAATGAACATTCGCGCTTATTCTAATTTTATTATAATTTAATTACAATTTGCTATGCACGGGGCTAATAGGCACGAACGGAAGAGATGGTTGCCATGAGCAAATCTTAAAATTAGCTAACTTAGTTAGAAATTAGGTGCTACCATTACAATTTTACAATAAAAATGTAATGTTCGTGTTTTGATTGAACAATGATTATAAATAAAAATCAAGAAAATCTCTTTTTTTTTCCATCCTGTGCTGATAGCCTTGAGATGCTATTTCAGCTTCTCGTTGACGTATAGGTGAGCTCACGGGGCTCAAACCGGGAGTGTTGCTAACACTGGCTCTAGCAAGAGCAGTGCTTCGCATAATCTACCACCAGATCGGAAACGCGACCCACTGAGAAGACCCGACGAGAAACTCAGTGGGCTGTGTCTATGGGTTAATTTAGTCGTCGAGCCCTTGGCTGCAAGCGACGGGTTTTGCAAGGACGGTGACCGGTTCTTGAGGTACCTAAAAGCACCGTTAATGGATCGGAAGGATCCGTAATGACGTGAAAATCTCTACGTTTTTTCCTATACACACACATATATAATTATAAACAAAGTGCTCACCAACACCATAGTACAGGCCACCAAGTAGTCCCTGTACGGATGTGTCGGTGGTGGTGGAGGAGAGTCGCGCGGCATACGTCACCGCCGCGGTGAATGACAGCGATGACGTGACCGACTCCAGTGCCTCGAACACCAAACACAACCACGGGTTGTATATCAGCGAGTAGCCTGTTAACATTTTACAAACGAAAGAACACCTTGAGACATGGTATCAAAGTCGCAACTCAAATGTGGATTCGAAAAACGACCATCCTAAAGAGGCTTATGTAGGAGAATAATATTATGACACATTATTGATGAACATTGAATGAGCAGCAAAAGGAACTCGAGGATATTCGCGTATCTTCTGATGTTGATGATAATGTTAAGCTACTCGTAATATAACGACAATTAGAAAGCGAGATTGAAACGTAAAAATAGTTTTAATGATGTTTTTTTTTATTGCTCTTGTAGGCAGACGACCATACGGCCCACCTGACGGTGAGTGGTTACCGTCGCCCATGGACTTCAGCAATGCCAGGGGCAGAGCCAAGCCTACTACCGCAAGCTGCCTACTGCTTAATACTCTCCACAAGCCTATTTTGAAGAAGGACATGTCATAGCGATCGGGTAACATTCTGGAGGGGAGCTCATTCCATAGCCGGATGGTACGTGGCAAAAAAGACCTTTCGATGAACGCAGCGGTTCCAGGTGATATGGATGAACTCTGCTCCGATGGCGGGAGGTGCGATGATAAAAACGAGATGAAAGGATCATCTCAAACAATTCCTCAGAGCATTTCCCATGGAACATACGGCACAAAATACAGAGGGAACCGAAGTCCCTCCGCAGACCCAGAGGTTCCAAACGAACCGTGAGAATGAGATTATCGACAATCCGAACGGTATTTAGTCAGATTAACTATTATGTAACATCCAATGAATGTAAGCTAGATAATATGCGACTACACAATAGATATATCTATAAAATTAAAATATATAGATATTACTTTCATCGTATACATAATATTATGTTACAGTCTCGATATTAAATTGTGTTTAATTTAATTTGCGCCATAACTAATGACATAAAGAATAATAAATTATTTCAAACCCGTTATTGTAGATACCAAATGTACGTTATTAGAGATACCAACCAGTATTCCTGGAAGCGCCCTGCCTGCCTTATGTATTAGTCCTGCAACTACTTATTACTTTAACATGTAGAATTAAATACAAACTTACCAAGCAATCGTATGGCGTAGAATATAAATCCTATGAACAATACATTAGCATGACCCAACTTCCTAATGATGGGCCCTGATAACACCAGGAGAGGCAGACCTGCGACACCACCCACAGTTATGGTGATCCCCATTAACGACCTGGAGGCTCCGAGGTCTTGGAGCAGCCAAAACAAGAAGCTCTCTATGTAACCCCATGCAGTGCCTGGTAAAGTACAATATTCTCTCATATAGTTGAAATTATTTAGTTTGTAAAACTTTTACAAATAATAAAATTAACAAAGCATAGAATAGTAAGTTTTTTTTTATGGGGGAACGTTCTTGAAGCCCCAACGGTAATTGTATATTATCACCGTAACGAATTTATTTAAATGAATTTGTGCTCAACTTAACATTTAGTGAAGGCTGGCAGAAGACGCTATTTTCGTTTTCTTAAAACCACACCTGCACTAGCTGACTTCTATTTATATTAATTACATAATGGATAAAATGAAAAACAAAAAAGGAAGTCATGATTTTTTTGTATTATCGTATTTAGCATCAACCTCTGTTTGTCTTCGGGAACAATTCAATGGAGCTGCTATTGATACTACATTTTTCAATGCCTAGATTGAAACCTAAAAGTGCCGGGCTACGTCCCAGGCAAGTAAAACATCTATTTAATATTATAACGATTCCTACCCATTATAAAGCACGCAATGAACAGCGCAACGATTTCTACGTTCTTGAATACTGTGATGACATCTTCGAGAAGGTTCTGCGCAGGCTGTTTAAACTCGAGATCAATGCTCAGCATCAGCACACCGGAAGCGACTTTTAGTATTGCGTAAAGATAAAACGCTGGCCTGGAAATTCAATAAAATATACATTCATGGTATTTCATATTTAACGACTTTCAAAGAACCTACGTCCAAGAATAATAAATATTACATCAAAAAGTTTTAGAAATCAGATATTTTTTTTATCTGCTTGAAGGCAAACGAGTATATGATCCGTCTTATGATTAGTGGCCATCGTCAATCATGGAATTATTGTGGACGCAATTCCAAGGCCACAAAAACAGCCAGAAACCGCTGAAGGATCTCATCAAACGTCGTTTGACGAAGGACATGTCATTACAAAAGCAAGCATCGTGGAGGGGAGACCACGGGCATTCATTTACATGGCAAATATGATCTCTGGAATCACACTGCTGAAGCGGCAGATAGTGGTAAAAGGAAGATGACAGGATCATTCAAAAATTTTAAAAGGCTTCAGGCAATCTTAATAAGTGTCAAGTATGTCGTGTTAAAATATAATTAATTCCGGTATGTTTTTTTTTAAGTGTTAATCAGTTTTTAAAAATGTAATTTAAATTTATAATATATATTATTATGTCATATGTGAGTTAAGAAATAGCTGATAATAGCATCGCATTCCACAAAACGAAATACCGTAGTGGTATTACTTTACATACGATACGATATACGATAGGTTGAATTGCTTTAAAATAAAATAAATGTATATTATTTTCTAAGAAATACAATAGAAATAGAATCTTAAAAAAACAATAATATAAAACCTCATGAATACAAGTATTTAACATCATTTATCTGTACTTTTAATTGTAGAAAAAGCGTTGAATTCAAATTAGAATAAAGTTTAAAAACCACTAACATCGATTATGCGGTCAGTTAATGTATAGAATTAAAAGCTCGCTTAAGCTTGTTGTTAATTTGCGCTAAATATGCTTACATTATTTTACTTAAAGCGCAAGATTCACACCTAAATTTTAATGTTTGTTATATGTACGTGGGGAGTTTTGATTATTTGTTAAGAATAAAATAAACTTTAGGCCAATTTCAATTAAAATTAAACGGATTCATTTTCCAAATATTATGTAAACTATTAATTAAATTGATTACCTAAAGTCTGTGTATCCTTTCCCTCTGCTAGCATAGTCTATTAATAGTCCAGAAAGAGGTGATGAAATCATTCCTCCTATACTGCCATAGACTCTCTGTAAGCCATAGTCCGCTTTTTGATCCCTCACTATGGCAATCACTGCGCCCTCAAACATAGCAAATGCTGTACCGCCTATTATACCTATAAACACTCTCACCTGAAATAAAATGTTATTATATAATAATATGCTATACTCTAGTCGTTATAATAAATGAAGGAACGAATGAAAAGTATTGAAATTGGATGTCGTGATAAATGAAGTGATCTGTATTTTTTCATATTTCGAAAACCAGTTTATTTGAACTGATAGAAACCTTGACCTATTGCACATAATGACTTATTAATCCATCTTCAATCTGCGTCGAAGTGTCTAAACACCGGTCTATGCCATACAATTTTCAGTTGTTTAATCTCCAATAAATATTTAAGTAATTTTAAACTTTAATGCGATTCCACTTGCGTATCATTTAAAATGAATATCACAAATTTTCCTACTTCAAACGGGAAAATAATAATAATAAGTGGAGAGCAAATATTTTATTTATTTCGTGTGAATAAAGGAATGTTATAATTTTTTTTTTTTGAGGCTTTGGTTTTAGTCTAATAGAACATTGGCCAAATTAAAACGTTGATATAGCAATTATTTGGCTTGAGCAAACTACGCGTCATACCTAAGTCATTCAAGACAAACACTTTTTGTTTTTTATTGATAACAACATATTCACACTCGGTCATCTGGCCCCAAATTAGAAACCCCCGTTTTATGCGTACCTGACATACATACTTATATGTGTACGTTTAAATATATTTTTTTATCGCTTCGTTGGGTGGACGAGCTCACAGCCCACCTGGTGTTAAGTGGTTACTGGAGCCCATAGACATCTACAACGTAAATGCGCCACCCACCTTGAGTACGTATAAGTTCTAAGGTCTCAGTATATTACAATGGCTGCCCCACCCTTCAAACTGAAACGCATTACTGCTTCACGGCAGAAATAGGCACGTGGTGGTACCTATCCGTGCGGAATCACAAAAGGTCCTGCCACCAGTAATAATAATATATACACATATAGATAATAAACACGTAGACCAGTGATGGATAATAAAGTACGACTCACGGGCCGAAGTTGGCAAAGTATTTAATCCGGCCCGCCGAGGACCCATTCAGTAATATGGCCCGTTATAATTACGATTTGACGGTCAAGAACAAAAGTAGATTCTACTTAATAGAATAATAGAAATAAAAATTAATTCATAGCTGTTTATACATATTAATATATCTATTATATTCTAGTCCTCCTCCAGAATTTCTTACACTTTGTGGCCCGCCATTAAAAAAGTGTCTCCACCACTGACCTAGACAAACCTGTTCATTACACATTGTTGGCCCGATGTGGGAATGGAACCCACGACCCTCGGCACAACAGTCAAGGGAATTAACCGTTACACCACCGAGTGAGAGTATTTAATATGTATATTATATTAGTTAATCTGTCTATAGGTAAACAATTTCTCACTCCTTCCGTTCGTTTGCAAATAGTGAACAGTCTCACTCAAACTACTTTCTAAACCTTTCCAGTAATAATACATAGAACTTAATCCATATGTTTGAGCTCAATCGATCCAGTCAGTGGTGAATATTCGAGTAAATTACTCACACACATGTTAAATTTCATATACGTGTGCTCACATATAAATAATCAAATTCAAAGATGTCAACTTTGATATTTGTAACTGTTTTTAAAGTCATTTGCATAGCAAAATGCAAAATTTAGATAACAGTCTCTTTTCGGAGAACTAATGAATTATAACTGTTCTTTACAAAACTATCAGAACAGTAAACGTAAGATTATAAATCTGTCACAATTCAGATATAATATCGTTAATAAATACACTCAATCCTCAACTCTTAGGAAGATGACTGATATGCGATTAGAATTAAGGAACACAATGCGGGTGTCAAGAATAACCTGGTAAATAAGTATGCAATTTTCCAAACATGTTCTACCAATGCAAGGCCATTGAATTTAAGAAAAATACCAACTTTAACAGAAATGATGGCACCTAATTAACACCTGGGAAGTTAAAACTCTAAATGAAACAGACGGCAAAATGTCAAGATATTGTTTGTTGTTTGTTCATTCTGTGTCATGTAAAGTTTTTATAATCAAAGGACGGGGATTAATGTTCTATTCAAATTTCTAATTTTAACAAATAATAAATTTGTTGTCTGTGACCATGAATAGTGTAATCAAAGCTTTTGGAACATATTACAATGAAAATAAAAAATGCGAGATTAAAGAAATGATAAAAACGTTCAAATAATGTTATTTGGGTTTTCTTGTTTTTACTCAGTAAGATAAACTGCAATACTAAAGTTTGCACTAAAATCCACCTAACCAGGATCACGTATGAGGGACAAAAGCAAAACAACCGAAAGAGAAGCATTTGTTTGCATATTCACTTATAGAAACCACTGACTCATATTTTAGATTGTAGATCTCGCACGGATGTTCCAAGTTGTAGAGGTTGAACAGGTAGAGAACAAACTCATCATAAGACGGGAAATCCTTCGAAATAAGGACATAAGACAAAAATACTTATCATCACGTTGGTCTATTGATTAGAAAAACGAAGCCTATAGACATGACAAAGTATATCGCCTTCAACCTTGTCATATGAGATCGATATCTCAATTTTACTGTAGAACGGCTGTCTTGTGTATCAAACTGTAACACATGACTGCTCCGCGGTATATGTAGGAAGGATAGCGATACCCAAGGGGCCTTTCAATTTGCTACCAACACAAAATATGCGAATTTACAAATATTGCGGTTTTAATGTTTACTACACAATGTAATTTCCTAGTTGTGGAAGTCATTGGAGAAAACATTTCAGTACGTATTTCCTTGGGAGATCTGACACCTGCTTGCGGGATTTGAGAACCACAGTCGCATCGCTTGATACGTGTACATAGAGAGTTTTTATTATATCATTCTCGCGACGACTAAAGTAACACAGAGCGAAAGCTCAATTTTATTTATTAAATTATATAAGATTTTATATTTTTTATAAATTTCGTAATATTAATTTCTGAATTATTTCTTATATTAGATCTTATATCTTCTTATATTAGAATATTAGAAAATGTCTAGTCGATTTGAACAATTATCCTTTCTTTTTTTATGGTCTTTGAGATGAGCACGTGGCCCGTTTCACGGAAAGTTACCTACTCGTGGAAATTAGCAATTAGCACAGCCTAATTTCTGCGTAATCATATCTTTTACACACAAATAAATTATTATACAAACGCGGAACGCTTAGTAATTAAATGTAGAGTTATCAAGTTGTACACAGGGTACCCGAAGTTTTAAATTGTCAAGCTTAACGATCGAGGACAAGGTTGTTGCTCTAACCCGAGGCGGCAGGTCATTACGAAACCAATCAGATCGTGACTGAAGTACTCGTAACTAAGCTCGCATATCAAAACCATATGTAACTTTCCAAAACGGCCTAAGTTCCTGCGATCTTAATTTGTGATCCAATTTCAATTGGTAGTTGTATTTGTAAATACGTGTGTAAGACCTTACATGATTATTTATCCTATTCAGCTTAGTCTATTTAAAATAACCTATTTATATCTATTTAAACATAGCGCCGGCCACTTCATGTGTAGTAAAAGTACGTTCACACTTGTACCTATAACAGTTAACTCGAACAACTAATAGTAAAGCTAATAGTTGGAACTGGATGCATGTTCTGCCAATTCCAGAGCCTTATTAAGATACATATGGAAAATAAGTTGTCCTGGTTAGAGACAAGAAAATTTATATCCAAAATCTGAACACCAAATACATTATGGTATGAAATCAACTCCGACCAAGTCTCTGTGGACTTCAGTCTAAGTTTTTCGTAATTGAAAAATAAAACAATTTATATGTGAAGTAATTTAAAATTTACTGGTTTTTTTTTTCAAACTGTATTTTAACGAATTTTATTAGTTCAAATTATCTTTTGAATATTTATATTTTTGATCTATGGGCTGTTAATAAAGTGCTAGACTTTTTTTTATGATTTTTGAGAATATGGAAAAGGAGAAACCCTAAATCCATACAAACTTGGGCCTGGCGTTACAGTGCTAGAATTTGGACATAAATTACAATACCTAAAAAGGTTTCATGAGCCCAATTTTCAGGTCTCCCAGCAATGGCCAAATTGGTAAAATCAGACAATGTTTACATTTTAGGTTATGTTTATTGTTCGAGATATTTTAATAAAAAATGATATTTTTAAGGCTGTTTCCTACTAAAGATGAGTAATTTTTTACGAAACCTGTTGCAGCAACAGGTTGCTTTGAAAATAAAAATGGAACCTGTTACGAGAAATCGTGCATTAGGTTGTTTACGAAAACGAACGAAAGCCAAAAATTAAAAACAACGTAATGCGAAACGCGCTGCGCACGAAATGATTTTTTAAAGAGATTTTATGACCTGGTAAATAGGACCTTTAGTTCAGTCTTATTTTAATTTTAATGAAAACTTTTTTATCGATCCTATTTTAGGGATGCTCTAATTCTAACCCACACGTTTGTCGAGCTAGTTACGTTTATTGAAATAAGTGTTGCAGATGTTTACAAAGATTGTTTAAAACAAAAAATAGAATTCAACTTATTTTCTACACTTGGCCATTGTCAATGAAGCTAAGATTTCAATAGGTTAATCAAGCAAAATAGACAATTTTTTTGTACATATCCCATTCGTGTAACGCTTAGGCCCAGAATGGGGTTTCTCCTTTACATCGTGCCGCCTCTGGATTATACAATCAACAATCATTCTATATTCATATTCCATATCTTGTCGCAATGCATTATACACGATATTTGAACATATGTCATCATACTTTCCGCGAGATTGTGAGTTCTTCTTTGAAATGTTTGTAATACGTGTAATAATAAGTACTTGAAAAAAAAGGAGAGCATATTAATAACTTTCCACATAAATTGTTGTATAATGAGGTTATTTTTAGTATATCCCATGTACAAAATCTTTACTTATAATGGCATATACTATCTTCGACTAATCTAAGTAACAAAAAAGCAAAAGATAAATCATTGCGTAATCATATCGTAAAAAACATTGGGATTTCCATCCAATACGTCAACCAGTTTGGACACTGCAATGTTTACAAAAGACATGCGACAAAAAGAAGGTTAGCAAGAAACTTAACATCGTTTGTTACGTGTATGTTGTACAACTAATGTGTAATTTGAATTGAGTCCAAAATGTTTAATATCTCACAGCTAAACCAAAACAATTATCAAAGAAATAATACAACAACACATTATGTAAGACTCACTGAGCTACGATTATAATGGGAATACAAAAGATTATTATGTTATGCAATGATCGAAAACAATTGTTGAATTTTCATCAATACGTAACTACAAAATGCGTCAGCTTAAAGCGAAAAACATGATTTGAGTTTCTCGTCGGATCTTCTCAGTGGGTCGCGTTTCCGATCCGGTGGTAGATTCTGATAAGCACTGCTTTCGCTAAGGTCAGTGTTAGCATCACTCCGGTTTGAGCCCCGTGAGCTTACCTACTAGTTAAGGTTACGCTGAAATAGCCTCTAAAGGCTATCAGGTTAGGTAGGGAAAAAAAAATGAATTGAAATAAATCTTTCGGTTATATTATTATACAGATAAACCATTAGAACTAGACACAGTCCCGGTGAGTTGTAGACTAAACAATCCCTTAACGAGACAGAATTGGGACGTACAATCCGCTCCTGTTGCTTATCAAGTTCGCGATTACTCAGTTAGCCACGATGAGTGGACAATCTTTTCATCAGAGGATCCGTCGGACCGTATGGTTGCGTTTACGTCAATGGTCCACGTGCTCACGACGAATTCCGTAGCGGAAAACGACAATTTAAGCGTCCTCTTGTTTTTAATTTTTGAGTGCCATTTAAAGTCTCAACTTTAAATTTAAAAAACCGGTATTTGCGTTTTACGCTTCATAACTTTTTCTGTTCAATGATATTTGCTGATCTTTGTGTAAACTTCCTCATACTTTCAACAAAGGTTAGTCATACTCACTTAAGATTTAACATTACATCGTTTTATTTAAAAACCACATGCAAATGAGTTTTTCTGGTAATAAAACGTAAAAATATTGTACTCACCGCAAGGTAGGTCCAAAATGTGAAAGCAGGATCAATCTCAATTGGTTGTTGTGTATTTGAACAAAGAGAATTACGTGATGTGATCGCCGTACAAGCAGCTAAACATCCAAGGAGCTGCCGTGATCCGACTTGCACTCGAACTCCACTTTCGTCAAGTACCTATAGTTTGATTTTACGTTAAATCAAAAAGCAAGCTTATTGGCATAACTTAATGACGAATTAGAAATAAAAATTCATTATATTTTTTTATTGCTTAGATGTGTGGACGAGCTCACAGCCCACCTGGTCTTAAGTGGTTACTGTAGCCCATGGACACCTAAAACTTAAATGCCGCCACCCAGCTTGAGATATGAGCTCTAAAGGTTCAGTATAGGTACAACGGCTGCCCGACCCTTCAAACCGAAATGCATTACTGCTTCACGGCAGAAATAGGCGGGGTGGTGGTACCCTTCCGTGCGGACTCACAAGAGGTCCTACCACTCCTAATACTAAAGTAAACCAAATTTTCGCAAATGATCTCGAATTAAAATCTTAATGATCCCTGTGAAACACATTAAGTAGTTCAAATACCTTCATAGCTTGTGAATTGTCAATATCTCACCTCGTCATAACTGTTTTTACATATAACACTGTCGACTCCATCGTAATCGTTGTCGATTGAATCGTTTCCACTAGATAAAGCTCTAACCCAATAATTTCTAACAGTTTTAGGCGTTTTCTGTGCATCATGCGAAATTCTCATTCGGAATGTTTCCATTTCCTCACCACCTTCGTCGTTTTGTTTAAAAATATCATTTCTTCCAAAAACACACGATCCATTATTCAAATCTCGAGAGCAATGCATTTTGTAAAGTCTTGGTGCTGGAAAGAATATCTCTCTGTCGGAGATTTTAGACACAGTGACATTAAAGTAAGGATCATTGTTCAGGATTCGTGACGTGCTTTGGTCTTTCATAGGAGTCATCGATCGAGTCACCGATGAAGTTAATGTGTGCCGGTACACCAGTTGTTGGGCATCCAAACTTGAATGCAAGTGTATATCGTATGCGTCGTTCCGCAATATGTTGTCAATTTCATTCGGAGTAACTATATCTGGGACGTCACAAATGAAGCCACATGATGAAATTCTGCGTGAAAAAAAAAACCATATCTGTAAGTTAATGGCCAAATCAAACCAAAAATCTTTTTTTTTTATTGAACTTACCTAAGGTTGATGTCATATGAATATGGATGCAAGGGTAGGCATGGATATTCTTGGATATGTCGGACCCTCAGAGCAGAATCATCACAGGTTGTTAAAAGCTCTACATCTGTGGGATATGTAATTGTTATTCTTCCGACGGGTACGGCCAACAACAACAAGGCCGAAATACCGCCCAATACTGACGACAACGCCAACAATAGCTAAAAGTAAAAAATATGTATATGTATATCAGAAGAAGTAGAAGTATGGAAACATTGCAAAATTATAAATAACTAGCTGACCCGGCAGACTTCAATTGACAAATAAAAGACCTAAACTTTTGTATAAAATAAACTTAAAACAAACAAAAGGAATCCGTCCGACGGTGGACACAAAGGGAAAACAAAATTGTTATTTTTATTTAATTCCGAGAATTTTTATATTTATCTAACCTTTAACCTTTTAAACCTCCTCTGGACTTTCACAAATAATTCAAGACCAAAATTAGCCAAATCGGTCCAGCCGTTCTCGAGTTTTAGCGAGACTAACGAACAGCAATTCATTTTTATATAATAATATATAGATAGATAGATTTAGGCACGTAATCGTTGTGCTGAATGCTAATATCAAATTGTGAAGGTAAAAACATCTAACTACCTAACTAACAATATAATGTCGTGTACCGGTGTTCGTGCCGACCTGAGATATACATTTAGAAAATGCAACGAAACGTGAAATGATGATGGACAGAAAATGACAATTAACTTGAGCAAAGAAAAACAGGATGCAGTATTTACGAAGAATGATCAGTAAAACGTGGGCAAATGATCGTTTTACAATTGTTGCGAGTCAAGTCAAATGTCATTGAAAAATTGTTAACGGAGGGCGCGAACCTCATGTTCACAAGCGGAAAACGTACTGAGCTGCGTGTACATTTTTTTTGTTAGATTCCATCTGATTGTGTAATGTAAATTATTAGAATAATTGGCTGGCCGGTCAATTCCCACGACGAAAATATTTTACACAACAAAAGATAAAAAAACAAGAAGTATGTGAATCAAAATCTATCGAGTCTTTTTCAAACGATATACAGATATTTATGAATTACATAATTTAATCCAATGACGATCAACAAAATAATCATCTTAAATATTGGTTTTTAAAACAATTTGTTTCACTATGAACGATTCTAAGTCATATAATATAGTTATAACGCCTGTTCAACAAAAAAATAAGATCTTTTAATAATTATAATTTTTTTTTATCTTATTGAAACTAATTAATAAAATTATTCTATATATCGGACCTTAATAGGTGTAAAATTTTTCGAAAGTCAATGGAACATCTTGAAGTTGGTGAAAATCGAGTTTAAATATTTACTTTGACAGATACAGGTTAAGTTAATAAAATCCTACCATCGTATAGTGTACCATGAGCCCGCACGGGTTTTAGGTGGCTGATAGCATGACGAACTAAATAGTGTAGCCTAACATCGCTACCTATTATGAACCTATGTATGTAACTGATCATATATGTACATGGATATGACATGTACTCGCACGGCAGATTCACAATGTCGGGTACAATACAAGGTAAAGGTTATTGTAACTAGAATTGACTGTAATTTGCGTTACGGACGTCGCAGATTAAATTCATTACATTGAACTGGAACGTTTATTGGATTAACACTTATTGAATTGAATGTAGGTACCTTCTAATACAAAATAGAGATTTATGGGAATACACCATGCGTCAGCATAAATAAATCTTCAACCAGTTCAATTTTTGTAGGCAGACGAGCATACGGCGCACCTGATGGTGAGTGGTTACCCATGGACTTCAGCAATGCCAGGAGCAGAGCCAAGCCGCTGCCTAACGTTGAATTTCCGAAGATTTCCATCAAACAGAGTTTACACAAACTTTTATAATGAGATTAGTTTTAACGGCGCAAGTAACCAGACCGGCACGCGTCTTATCTGGCAGTGGCACTAATTGTTTATCTGAGCACATTCGACTTAACGTGCCTCCTTAAGACAAAAGCAATAAGTGCGGCCATTACTTTAATCTTGCTATTAAGTAATCAGTAACTATTTAAATGTGTATTTATGTAGGCCAACTATAGCTATATTGATTTACAACAGACCACACGACAATATTTTAAGTTTTGAATAGATAATAAAGATAAATTTTCATCTGTTACAGCCACTAGATTCTAATTACTAGGGTAGGTAGCAATTAAAGAGCAATGGATCTTTTTTATTTCTTTGATCATCATTTGATGAAAATCATTTCGAGGAACAGGCTAGCTGATTAAAAGAAACTAACTATATTTAATGATAAATAATATATAATCATTTTTTTTTTATCAGATATGTTTGAACTTTATTTGTCCTCAAGTATCGTTATAATTAGCTTTATTAAAATAGATACTATGGCATTCATTTTTGTACGACTCAAATGTCAGTTTTGTTTTTCCTTAAAGGTCTCATTACCAGGCCATCAAATCCTCAAAAAAATCAGTTTTGTTTTGATTTTATTGATAAACTCAAAACACTTTTTTAATTTAAACTCAAAGCGTGAAGTCAGCCAGCCATTACTTGAACACAGTTAAGACTTAATCTTGTTTATCAATGCGCTATATAACAATCCAAACGTGTTTTCAGAGATATTGTACTAAGTACGTAGAAAAAATAAAAATTATGTAACGTTAAATAAAATTATATTAGTTTCTTATATTAGTCTATTAGCGACCCGCCCTCGCTTCGCTTCGGAAACTGTAATTTATTATTGATTTCTTCACTATTTGATGGATGTTATTATACATATAAACCTTCCTCTTCAATCACTCTATCTATTAAAAAAAACCGCATCAAAATCCGTTGCATAGTTTTAAAGATTTAAGCATACACAGGGACAGACAGATATAGGGACAGAGAAAGCGACTTTGTTTTATACTATGTAGTGATATTGCCTAAAAATAGTAATTAAAATCACATTTTTTGAATAAATGCCCTATTATTGTGGTAAAAATTTCATGGTCAGACTGTTGATCTTCCAACTTGACGTCAGAATGGTTGGTCAATTAGATCTGCCTTTCATTTGAAACCATAAGATAGACATTATTTGATCATTCATCTACTTCGATGCGAAATATTTAAATTATAAGCCAATTTGACGTACCCTAACAAAACAATAAAATTGTAGACAGGTAAAGCTTGTGCATTGAATGTGTTATTTATTTTAAATATCAAGGCTTCTTTAACTTCGTAAAAAACGTAACCTTTCTTGTCTTTTTATGTTAGTATGCATATAGCGTACGAATATTATCAAGTCATTCGTGATGAAGTCCGTTGCACCAAGCGATAAAGGAATCTGTTTAAATTTTATTCAAGACTATTTTATTGACGTATTTTACAGGAATGTGGAACTTAAATTATTATTTTAGAGCACAGGTTGGAGAACCACCTTACGACTAACCTGGTACTAAGTGCTTACCAGACCCCATAGAGATCTCAACGTGAATTCCGCCATCCATCTTAAGACCTGAGGTCTAAGTCTTAATTGTATTGTATAATGGCTGGCCCACCGTTCAAACAGGTACGCATTGCAGCTTCGCCGTAGAAATAGACAAGCTGGTCATACCTAAACGTGTGTGCTTAAAAATACCAGAATTAAAAATAACAAGTTTGTACAATTATATGTATTGTATGTAACTACATATATGTATGTGTACATGTATCGAAATAAATATGAAAATGAGTTGAACCGATTCGAGAATAACTTTGAAGAATCAACAAGAATTCAGGGCGTACTCTTTTCATGTAAACTAAGTACAATTAGTTACATTGTTTTTAATTTAAGTAATTCATCAGCGAAGATAATTAAAATTACGTATTTTTTAGTACCTATTCTCTACGCGCGAGTTTATTGCTGTAGGCGTTTATGAAATTATTTTTTTATATCGCACGTCGTTAATTAGTTAGCCGGACTTTAGCGTTGGTTTCTATCGATCAAAATACGTATTTTAGAAGTCGTCGTGGCCTAAAGGATAAGACGTCCGGTGCATTCGTATCAAGCGATGCACTGGTGTTCGAATCTCGCTGGCGGGTACCAATTTTTCTANTACGCGCGAGTTTATTGCTGTAGGCGTTTATGAAATTATTTTTTTATATCGCACGTCGTTAATTAGTTAGCCGGACTTTAGCGTTGGTTTCTATCGATCAAAATACGTATTTTAGAAGTCGTCGTGGCCTAAAGGATAAGACGTCCGGTGCATTCGTATCAAGCGATGCACTGGTGTTCGAATCTCGCTGGCGGGTACCAATTTTTCTAATGAAATATGTACTCAACAAATGTTCACGATTGACTTCCACGGTGAAGGAATAACATCGTGCAATAAAAATCAAACCCGCAAAATTATAATTTGCGTAATTACTGGTGGTAGGACCTCTTGTGAGTCCGCACGGGAAGGTACCACCGCCCCGCCTATTTCTGCCGTGCAGAAAGCAGTAATGCGTTTCGGTTTGAAGGGTGGGGCAGCCGTTGTGACTATACTTACCTTAGAACTATATCTCAAGGTGTGTGGCGCATTTACGTTGTAGATGTCTATGGGCTCCAGTAACCACTTAACACCAGGTGGGCTGTGAGCTCGTCCACACACCTAAGCAAAAAAAAAAAAAAAATGTATTATCCTCTGAAAATATATAAAATCTAAAAATGACTATCATTCGTACTCACTCTAAAATTTCCAATTTTGTCTGCAAGCATACCAGCCAAGGGTGGCATTATTATGGACACCACTGGAGTTACGGCAGACATTATCGCCGTTTCCTCAACATTGATGCCAAGCTCTCGCATATGTATCGTCAAGTAAGGATACAACACGTACAAAGCTAAAAAAAAATATATTTTGCATTATATTTTATCATTGAAGCTTTCTGTACTTCTCTTTACTTTAAAATAAAAAACGTTTCGTGAGAAAAATATATAAGTAGGGTATTTATTGTAAGAAGTGGCACAGATAACGAAATTTAAGAAATGTAAAACACTGAACAAGTTCTGAACTATCCGCAAAATTTGTATTCTATACACTGCGCATCTTACCATTAAATATGAAACACTTAAAACATCCGAGAATTCAATATATTGTAGTGCCTGTTTTTATGAGATTCTACTCGTATTCCCAAAATAATCAATTAATATTAAAGTTTGGATGAATTTCACACTCTTTTAACAAAAATTTTACTTACTTGAAGCATGAACGAAGAACAGTATTTTTAATGGAATCAATTTTTTCTGCTTCAAGTCATCTGTTATTCTTTTGAAAAATGACCTGATTAGTCGCATCTTCACGGTTGCTATGAATTCCAAATAACAAAAGAGGATCAAATCTTTACTCGTACACTAAGTAGGAAATTTTTTAGTCACCCAGCTTTCCTCGCGAAAAAACGTGAGTACTTGTCCTTGATACATGGAAGTGATTTGTCAGTTTTACCTGAAACAATTTAATTTCTGGGAATAAAAAAAAGCTGTTTATAGTATTTCCGTTAGTTTTAGCGTACATAATTTAGCCTATTACGACATAACTTAAGCTATTTTTTCGGGTAAGCCTCGCTTTTATTATTTCCGACGCCTCGAATAGTTTACAATTTTGTTAATTCCCCGAATCCTGATCACGCAGGAGCCAGTCACCGTCGACGCCCTAGACACGTCCTTACGGATCCATCAGATCCAATAACTTTTGCATTAGACGCCTTCAGCTCTAACACTAGGAGCAGGCTTAGGGACCTCGGTAACCGTACTCGTCGAACTCGACAAAGAGTTCGCCGTGCAACCTAACCCATGAATCAGCTCGCTGNCTCCCCGAATCCTGATCACGCAGGAGCCAGTCACCGTCGACGCCCTAGACACGTCCTTACGGATCCATCAGATCCAATAACTTTTGCATTAGACGCCTTCAGCTCTAACACTAGGAGCAGGCTTAGGGACCTCGGTAACCGTACTCGTCGAACTCGACAAAGAGTTCGCCGTGCAACCTAACCCATGAATCAGCTCGCTGAGTTTCTCGCCGGATCTTCTCAGCGGGTCGCGATTCCGATCCGGTAGTAGATTCATTAGGTAGGGGTTAGGGGTTAGGGGTTAGGGGTTAGGGGTTAGGTAGGGGTTAAAGTATGAAATTGCCGATTTATACTGAAAAATTTAGATTCGTTTTTTTTTCATTTAATTTCATTATTATCTATACATTACTGCCATCTAATAGGAAGGTAATTTATACCTTTGCGATAGAGCTTTGGTGTTCTATATTCTACAAACTGTGTGAAAGCATTTTGTACTGCCTCCTGAGAAGAAAACTTTTTATCACGTAGAAAATTGTCCAAATCACGAAAAAAATGATAGTCCGTTGGAGCAAGATCTGGCGAATACGGAGGGTGACAAGTGGTTTCTAATTGCAGTTCCTATAGAGTTAAAACGGTTTCTCGTGCTGTATGAGGTCTCGCGTTGGAGCAATAATGGATCGATTAATAAATCGGGGCTGTTTCACTGCATGTTTTGCTATCATTGTTTGGAGTTCGGCACAGTAGACATCTGCCGTTATTGCTTGACCATATCGGAGAAAGCTATAGTGAATAACACTATGCTGAGACCACTAAACAGTTACCTTTACCTTTTTATTGGTAAGCTTTGCTTTAGGACACTGTTACGGTGTTTGACGTGGGGGGGTCAGCCATTGCATTTTTCGCTTCGGTTATCGTAAAGAATCCACTTTTCATCACATGTCACAATTCGATCCAATATTCCTTCATTTCTGTATCGATTCAACAAGGCAACACAAGCGGTTTCTTTGCAGATCAGTCAAATCATCAGGCATCCATTTTTCATATTTTTTTATTTTATTGATTTGACGCAAATGAGTCAATATTGTTGGTAAGGTAACGTTAAACCATGCTGCTAATTCTTGGGTAGTTTGTCTCGGATCGGCTTCCACCATCTCTTTCAATTCATTGTTATTCACATGTGTGGGCGGTATTCCACGTGGCTCATTCTTCAAATCAAAATTTCCATCACGAAAGCGTTTAAACCAAAATCGCACGGTGCGTTCATTGGCAGTCCCCTCTCAAACCCTTCATTGATAATGCGAGCTGTTTCTGCAGCGTTAGTTCCGCGTCGGAACTCGTATTCAAAAATCACTCGAATTTTCGAAGTAACCATCTTTCTTATCTAAGCTGGATAAAAAAAACAATTGAAAGTCGATAATCGAATGTTGCACATTTTTTAAAAGAAGCTCCGCATAGGTAGATACCATTTGAAAAACGTTTCACTCAAAAATCTCAAACCATGAAGGTTCTATGTCAATTCGAAGTATTTATTACAATAAAACGGCAATTTCATACTTTAACCCCTATTGTTTTCGACATTAGTTTATTGATTACTACTAAAAATATATATTTAATATGGACCTGATAAAAATACAATTATGGAATACAAGTTCCGTCGAGGTAGAAATGCCACACAAACAAACGGCTCACGACAATAATTTGACGTGTACGCAGTGAATACTACAAACGAGCACACGAGTTGTTATTGGCTTGAACGATTTCATGGAAATTTTGATCTAAAAAATGAGCTCCGTGGTCGACCGAAAACTAAAGTCAACAAGGAAAAACTGAAGGTGAACAATATTGTCTTGCGTTATTAAACAGATACAGAAACAAAGGGATTTTTTGAACCGCGTTGCTTTTCATTGCAACTGAGAATGCGTATTCTTTTTTTAAAATCGTAAGCGGTCATCGTGTTGAATAGACCCTGGCTCAGCATCTAGGTAATGCTCCTAAAGAAAAGGTATCGTTTAGTAATAAAATATTAGAACTTTAGATGGCAATTCTGTCGCATAACGTCTTGTAATTACAGTAAACGCAGATCTTTTGTTTATTTACACTATCATAAGTATGTATACAGTGCGTAAACAGTGAGCTAAGTTTATAAATAAACATTTTTTGATAAATTTGTAAATCGTTCTATATTAAGCAGTTGTTCAGAGTGATTCATATATTTGTTATATGTTAATTTACATTTTTTATGTTAAATCGTTTGAATATTAGGAAATTTTAATATGTGGCATTTTAATTTGCCTCTCGTTATTTGAGATTTCAATAAATTATTTTAATTACAATTAAATACATTAAATTCCTAACATATCTTCCTTTTTCCCTTACTCTAAGTCTCGGAAATCTAAACCTTTAGATTAGTATAAATATAAATGAGATTAAAAAATTAGTTTGCTAAGGAAGTTTCACTTCTGACATGTGTACATACTTTGTAGAAGCGCACTTTTAATTTTTTCCTTTACTTCAAAGTTTGGATAAATTCTTGGTAGAGAAAAAATGTAATAGGTACTCGAGAGGCGGTACAGTTGAATAAATTGTTGGCTGACTTCTTCAAGAAGGGCATTGATAAATAACCACTACGCTGGCAGAGGTGTACCGAAACCATGGGTATACCTATATTTTAATTGATAGTTTTTTTTTTTAATGACTAACTTTCTGTATAGGTACTTAGCGGTAACTTCATAAATAAAGACCTAATATTTGCAGCCCAACTAAACAATCCTAAATCTTACTTTTGTATTCTGTAAAAGCCACCACCCATCAATCCTTCTCACATTTATAGTATCTGAAAATACAACGGTTTCTAGGTTCGTAGAAATGGGCATTTTCTAGATGCAAAGTACTTAATTTCTAAAAATAAGTAATACAACACAATGCTTATACAGCAGCTGGTCTATTTGACTTTTTCTGCTAAACTCGATTACAGTGCTACCGGTAGGTAACAGACGCACTCGCGAATGGCCGTATTAAAACAATGGAATAATACAATAGCTCATTCACAGCACATTATAAGTGTGTATGTGGGACGTTCTGTAGCTGGTCAACGTAGGATGTCCATACAGGGGTGCGTACGTGGGTTCATTGTTCATTAAAAATAGTATATACTTAAACGATCTCAAACATTACGTTACATCATTAGGTAAGTGAAATGATTCTCAAATTCTACAAATCGCTTTATTTCACAATATAATTCATTTGTAAAATAAGACACCTAACTGAGGTAAATTCAATTTTAAATCAAATTCACTTAAAAATATTCGCAAAGGTCATGTCCCTCTCGAATGCTATGATTGTTAAATTCGTTGACGTGATAATTTTCTCAAATGTTTTCACAACGCGCGACGCGCGTAACGCGCTTGACTATTAATCACGAAATTTGACAGTGCCATAGAGACTCTCTTTAAGCACTCTGTTTAAAAGAAACCGCAACTTATGAATGAAATAAATAAAATATCAAATTGCGGTTCAAAATTAATTACCAATTGTAGGTTCGATGTAAATGCGCAATGATTGATCTCTCAAGAAAATCTGAATCTCAGGGGAAAATGAAATCCTTCAACTTACGGAAAATAAACAAATCAGAAGAGCATTTGACCTTTGTTCCGGCGCAAAATTATGACGCGTTAAAAAAAATACCAACTCAACTCAAATAAAACGAATGTGGTTTTGTTACCCATCTAAACTAGGATCATTTTGTGACCTTGTTATGTGCAACAAAACTTAAATAAACTAGTCGCTTTTTCTTGTCGAGTTGTTGATTATAAAGTTGTATAATGTAAGTTTCTAAAATTTATGTACTAAAACTAAAAGATAACGTTTAACTAATTACTTTCAATATCATAGTGACACATCTTCATTACACTATGTACATATGTATTTGTAATGAATTTTAGAACAAACATTTTACTCATTGTCATGTAGAAATTAAAATTAATAATAATAATTAAATGAAAATTACTTTTTTGTTAATCTGCTTAATCAAAACTGTTTAACTATAAAAACTTACCCACCGTAAATTTGAAATTGAATTTTTATCACAAAACTGTTAAATTTTAAAATACACCTTATCGATCACGTTCGATTTTGTTTTTAAAGATCGTGTGCACTTTTACTTCTTCTTATAATAAACGTGTATGAATTTGGAATAAATCGATACTTTATTATGCGCGTATGTGAACGATAGCGTGCAAGCGCACCGTAGTTGAATCGTTCACGAAGACTGGCACAGCCCTACTCGTCCCCCCTATGCGCGCTTCATTCAGCGACTCAATTTGCAGTTATAAAACAGCAATGAACCAGCGTCTGAGTAGTGAAAGGAAGATATCTATGTAAGTGGGGTCATGTAGATGTAATATAGGTACATTCACGGTGCCATCAGTTTAACAACATAAATGTTACTAACATGAATTTAGATTATGTAATTTTTTAGTATTATCCAATAACATAATCTTTTTTTTATTGCTAATATGGGTGGACGATCTCACAGCCCACCTGGTGTTAAGTGGTTACTGGAGCCCATAGACGTTTACAACGTAAATGCGCCACACACCTTAAGATATAAGCTGTAAGGTCTCAGTATAGTCACAACGGCTGCCCCACCCTTCCAACCGAAAAAAATTACTGCTTCACGGCAGAAATAGGCAGGGTGGTGGTACCTACCCTCGCGGACTCACAAGAGGCTACCACCAGTGTCAAAAATTTTCCAAAAAAATTATTATTAATTTAAATGAATTGTCCAATTATTTAAAAATCACAAAAAAGATTGTCTTTAAAGGTAATGAAAAGTATATAAACCTGCATATGCGTGTTATTCTTAATTCTTCCTAATACTATCAGGGGACATCAAAGATGTACACATTTCAACCTAAACACTAAGCACATAATAAAATTAAATAGTGGTTCGACACTGAATAATCACCCTATTTAGTTTTTTTTTTGTGTGAATTGCGTCATCAATTCATATTCAATTTAACCGACACCAACTCAAAGAGATTCTTTATTCGAGTCGTTTCTTTACCTTTTTAAAAGATTTTCTCGATAATATATCAATGACATGCTGTCTATTGATGGCATGCATTGCTATGCGGATGACAGCACGGGGGATGCGCGATATATCGGCCATCAGAGTCTCTCTCGGAGCGTGGTACAAGAGAGACGATCAAAACTTGTGCGTGAGAGTGGAGAACTCTCTGGGGCGAGTCTCCAAATGGGGTGAATTGAACTTGGTTCAATTCAACCCGTTAAAGACACAAGTTTGCGCGTTCACTGCGAAGAAGGACCCCTTTGTCATGGCGCCGCAATTCCAAGGAGTATCCCTGCAACCTTCCGTGAGTATTGGGATACTTGGGGTTGACATTTCGAGCGATGTCCAGTTTCGGAGTCATTTGGAAGGCAAAGCCAAGTTGGCGTCCAAAATGGTGGGAGTCCTCAACAGAGCGAAGCGGTACTTCACGCCTGGACAAACGCTTTTGCTTTATAAAGCACAAGTCCGGCCTCGCGTGGAGTACTGCTCCCATCTCTGGGCCGGGGCTCCCAAATACCAGCTTGTTCCATTTGACTCCATACAGAGGAGGGCCGTTCGGATTGTCGATAATCCCATTGTCACGGATCGTTTGGAACCTCTGGGTCTGCGGAGGAACTTCGGTTCCCTCTGTATTTTGTACCGTATGTTCCATGGGGAGTGCCCTGAGGAATTGTTCGAGATGATACCGGCATCTCGTTTTTACCATCGCACCGCCCGCCACCGGAGTAGAGTTCATCCATATTACCTGGAGCCACTGCGGTCATCCACAGTGCGTTTCCAGAGATCTTTTTTGCCACGTACCATCCGGCTATGGAACGAGCTCCCCTCCACGGTGTTTCCCGAGCGCTATGACATGTCCTTCTTCAAACGAGGCTTGTGGAGAGTATTAAGCGGTAGGCAGCAGCTTGACTCTGCCCCTGGCATTGCTGAAGTCCATGGGCGACGGTAACCACTCACCATCAGGTGTGCCGTATGCTCGTCTCTCTACAAGGGCAATAAAAAAAAAAAATATATATATATATATATATATATTTTTGCTAATAGCCTTGAAAAAGATGAGAGATGATGTTAACGAAAGCAAAGTTTAGTTTTCTAGTAGGCCATTTTAAATAAAAGGCGCTTTTAAATAAATGACTTTATCACCGATTCGGAACTTAAAATAACTTAGGGCTTGCTTTTTTTTTCAAATGTACGTGCCTCTTGTATTAGTCGTGACGAACACACCAAGACACCAAGAGTCACGTCACGTCACCTTCATCCGTGACTTTTGTCCTCACGATATTAAATACATTATATGTACATCACTAAATCAGTAGATATAATATAAATTGTGTATTTAAGTAAAATATAATTTACCGAATGTGATTTTTAGTGCTGTCGTATCTTACATTTTTCTGTTCAAAACACTCTTGCACTTCCCTGCGATAAAAGCATAAGTTAGGATTTTCATTTTTTTGACTTAAACATTTCAAAATGTAATTTTTTTTCCAAAAAGCCGGTACCCTTCTACCGGTCCTTGAAAAGAAAAAAACGGGACCCTTATAGGGTAAATTTGTTGTCCATTCGTCTGATTCTTCGACACTTAAGACCATTTTTAGGCTAGATGGGTAATTGGCACCATCCTGTCTGCGTTATGGTTTGAAGGATGTGACAGCAGTTATACGACTTTCATCTTCTTATTAAGATTAGTACAGATACCGGGACCTATAGACATGGTAATATGAACATGTGTTCATAAGTACATTGTTCATACCACTTAACATTGCTCATCTGCATAATAAATAAATTAAAAATAAGTTACCAAATAAGGTCTTCGGCGGAAATAAATCATACAAAATTTCAACTTTTCAAATCTTTTTTTTTAATCATTCATAACAAACTTATAGAGCCCTTTCCATTGACGTGAATCTTGAAATTGGGCAAGATTTTGGCAGGAATGCAATAAAACATATTTCTATACATAGATAGATATACTCGTAGACATTAATAAAATTTCTTTAAAAAAAAACATGGTTCTGTGACGATTTTTTTTTCATTTTTTTACTAATTATAGCACTTAATACCTATTGCGTTCTTCAGAACCCCGAAAATCAGCTCAGGTTGTTCTTTAAATTTTATAGTATATTCCAATACTTCACTACATCTAAATTATAATCCCAAAAAATATTAATAGTTGGTCTTAAAAACGTTGTCAAAAACAAGCAGTTCCTCACTCAAGCACTACTTTCGATGCTAATATGATACGATTCTAATAATTATGTAGGTACTATTGCGACAAGGCAGCTGTGAACACACTTCAAGCCATAACATATTATTCATATCCTCCGCAAGCCTGAAACCTGTGTCAATATTAAATATATATCACTAATGATGCTGATTCGAAAATAAACCAATAAAAATTAAAAAGTATTTTTTTATTCGTATTCACAAAATTTTTGGTTTTTAAAATTAAACTTTTAAAATATCATTTCATCATTTGTTTCTCACATGAATAAATACATGCATACATTGATCACACATAATTCTTACTAAGTACGTAATTATTACAAAGTAAATTTTATTAATTAAATTTGAAAACGCTTCTAAATCAAGAACTATTACATATACAATAAAAAAATATAAATATTTGTGAGTTCAATAAAAAAAACCAAAAGGATATCGTATTTCGCAGACCGATTTGTATTCAAAACTTCGAACATACGAGATATATATATACGATATATTTATTCAAGGCGACGCATCAACAATATGTACATAAACAGTGAGTGATATTATATGGCTATCCGGTTAAAAAAAGATAGTAGTCACCTACGAAGTGATAGTTTCGAATTTGAACTTTGAACTCGAATTCGAACTTCGAACTTCTTTTACAATATGTACCTAATAAATTTTATTTTAAATTAAATGTGATGGTTGTTTCCCAAATTCAGTGTTAAAAAATATTACTTAATTACTTTTGACAGTCGTTTGTGCTTTGGCATCGATCTATTAACCGCAAGTAGGTATAGTTCGTTTCATTCCATTCCATTCTAGAAACTTCGGTTTACCTCGGATCTCCGGCTATGGAATGAGCTCCCCTCCACGGTGTTTCCTGAGCGCTATGACATGTCCTTCTTTAAAAGAGGCTTGTGGAGAGTATTAAGCGGTAGGCAGCGGCGGATTGCTGAAGTCCATGGGCGACGGTAACCACTCACCATCAGGTGTGCCGTATGCTCGTCCGCCTACATGGGCAATAAAAAATAAAAAAAAGATCTGAAGAAATGTAAACGATTTCGGAAACTGCTCAATCTCGGACCATTTTCGATTCAACAGTAAGTAGCGTTCATTGTAAATGTGATAAAATCGAAAATAATTTTAAGTGAATACCATAAGCGAAAAGCAAAACCCCCGAGGACTTGTTAAAACTGGTCCTAAGCTAAAAATATGTTTGTATTTATTTGCATAGCATAGTCTACATGCAGATGACGCAACACGCCCCCACACTGTCCGACATACTTTTTACCTGCGAGTTGAGATTGAAAACTTCCCTTCTCTTTCTTTTCGCAATTTACAATCTCAATTTAAAATCTCACAAATTAAAGGTTTTGTCAAGAAAAATGTTTATTCCAAAGACTTCAACCCTTCTTTCATAAATGCCGTTGATCATCGTAAGGTATGAGTTTAAAATCAATAAAATCAATTTGAATAACGGCTAACAAAACAATCTAGATTGGATTAATAATTTTAAATAGTGAATAGCATAGTAATAATTTTCACTATTGTTTTTTTGCTAATTTTATATTATTTTCTATTACGTGTTTGTCCATTTTACTTCTTGCTAAATTAAGTTCCAACTCATTATATCTTATGCTTCCTTTAAAAGATGACATAGTTTTACCAAAATCAATGGTAATCCTCTATTTAGGAATGTACTAGTAGGAACTTTAATACTCAAATAAATCTATTTTAAAAGGTTATAAAGGTGAATATTTTTCAACTTAAATATCAGCAAAACGTTGGCATTTGATTGAATGTCAAATTAACTGACAAGTGGTCTATGAATAATTAATTAATTAATTAATTCCAGTAGATTTAGTTTTATAAAAATCTAGTAATGATTTTATATTTTTAAATTCGTTTTCTTAATAAGATCTGATTTTTTTATAGGTTTATAGATTCGCAAAACAAATCTTTCATGGTTATTACAACTCGACCAAGCTAAGTTTGCACCTCGCTGGGATGCGGCGCTCCGACCGCTTCCCCGCTCACCTTCCCGAGATCGCCCTGCCAGTACGGTTAGCATCTTTGTCGCTGACACGCGTCATACGAGTTTTCGTCTCCCTATCCGTTGAATTTTAAATTTTTTAATTGTTCTTGTTAGGTTTTTTGTTGAAGTTTAGTTATATTAATGGACTATTTTTGTCAAGTTTTTGTTGAACTGTTGTTGCTGAACGCTTAACGTTCATTTTTTTTTTTACTTCGAGAGGATTTTTGTGGGCAACAGAAATGAAAGGAAAGGTCATACACAGTGAAGGGACAAACCCCTGAAAAGGAAACAAAGAAAAATTATTACTGAGCAATTGGGATACAAATTTAAAAAGTGCAAGAATGCCCGGGTGGCCTTAATACAAAAACCCGATATCGCTATATTCTAATGTACCTGTGTATAATATATTTGTTAAAAACAATAAATGCAAAGTAAAATCTAACAAACATTTGTTTACATTTTTAAAGTCATAGTCCTTTTTTCAGACCATACCTAAGCGGCAGTGTGACGTAATCGATGTGAAGTGCAAACTTAGCTTGGTCGAGCTGTAGGTACATCTGTGGCGACCATAAAAACATGGATATTTTTTTTTGTTTTTATTATTAATTTAATCTGGAACTTTTTTGACTTTTTAATGAATAAGTATGAATTCGTTTGAAAAGCTACCGCTCTTCTTCTAATTTCCATCCAAATCTCAGGATATTAATATGTATTTGATTTACAATTTTTTATTTTGTGGATAAGATCATACCTATAGAATGATTAAATTTTATGAACTTGTTTGTTTAATAAGTCGATAGTTTATTAATTCATTATAATGCTAAGATCTTGAAAAAGTATTCAACTTCTAATAATCCATCTTCTGCTAAATCGCTACAATGAACTGCGTTTTGTACTTTCGTTTTTCCCAACTTTGCTCTCAGGGTATCCGGTCGAAGTAATCTTGCAATCTCCTAAAGTGGAATATGAACATCATGAATTAATTATTCAAAACTATAGCTTTTTAAGATTACAGAGATTATAAAAAAATATTGTATTTGCAGTGTTTTCAATATTCATTTGTCGAATACACAATTACAAAAATAATATAATGCAAGACGTGTAGTCCATAGACATGGTTTTTTTTCTTTTTCTTTTTCTTCATTTATCTATCTATACATACAGAAACAGCTTACGGGTACAAGCTGCGTATTCAGTAGCGACTAATTACACGGCTTATCTGCACGTGTTTACAAAATTTCGTGATAATCGTTTGAGTAGTTAAAACGCAGAAAAAGTCAACAAAAACACCTTCACCTTTGTAATATTAGGATAGATTCGATAACGTACATTGCTTACTTTAATTTTATTACATTAATAGGCGAACCAGCCCACCCGGTGTTAAGTGGTTTCCTGAGGCCATAAGCAATAGGGATTTTGAATCTTGAGATTTAATTTTCAATTGCATTGCCTGACGGCTTTCCCACCCTTTAAACCGAAACACCTAATCGCTTCCCGATTGAAATAGGCAGATAGCGGTTCGATACGTGCGGGCCTACAATACGCTCTACCACTAGTAATTATTTTAATCACTATTTCCTATGGGACAAAATCTATTTTTCATTACGAAGACCATGAATTCGGGTTTCAGGTATGGCTGGGACGTGTATAAATGTCTATTAACTTTATTTCGTAATGAATGGAAGAGATTTCGACTCTACGAGCATCTTCTTAAATATGTAGTTCTAATCCCGTTCGGGTGTAACTGGAAAAGCCCCTTAGATTACCAGCGAATAGATAAGGAAAAAATTACTACTAATACGGTTTTGTTAAAGTTAGAAAGAAAATGGTTTTAAAACTCCCTTTTGGACGTAAAAAAGGTCTCGTAGTATTATTACTAATATTATGGCAGCTGTACTATTGTATTTTAAACTCGTTCGTGAGAATTAGGATGTGTGGAAGTTCTGGTCTGTTTCCGAATTTCTGAATGACTAAAATTACTGATATTAATTTTGGCACGTTTGAAAAAAAAAGTGAGTGTTTTTAATGTGACGAACCTGCGTGCGCCGATGTATAACAATCTAGTTCTTTATAAGGATTGTTTAGTGTAAGATTTAGGACTATATTAATGTAAGTATTATTTATTGGTAAAATTACATATCAATAAATAAATATTTTTATGAATTTGTATAGATGAGTACACAAGCATGTGCATACACCTGATTTTATTTTAGGATGGCGCATGAATTCCTTTTTCAAAATCAAATTCAGCATTTCTGTCCAGTTCTCAAAAAATTCATTAACCATAGATGTGACAGAACTTATAACCCAATTGAATGTATACAATAATAAATTTATTAACAGTACTTACAGGATCAGAAGGACCTACTAATTTTCTAAATTCAACAGCAGTGTTAACATTTTTATTTTTCGCTACTATTTCCATAGCCACGCAAGGGCCACTCGACAATTCTTCAACCATACCCTGGAAAATTTAAGTATTTTAAGGAACTAGAGACAATTTCTTTTTTTGAATTGCCTAAATGGGTAAAGAAGCTTGTGTACTATTATCAGTGACTATAGACAACCGAACCTGGATGCTGCCACCCAACTTGAGACATGACAATTATATATAGTATAATGGTTGTGCCAAACTTTACATCAAATAACATGACCGTTTTAGTGACAGAAATAGGGGAGATATTAGTGCCTATCTGTGTGGGTTTAGTACATGCCTTAGCAGGAATAAGCACTTGTTGATGATCTCAGTACGCTGGTAAAATACTCTTAGGATGCTGCCACCCATTCTCTAGAATTCTTCAGCAACAGCAGTGTCCTCAGTTGTAAATATCAACTAAGGCATTCCCGTTAGTCGACTTTTACAACAACCTCAGGAAGAGATATTGGGTGGTGCTATTTTAAACCTTAATGCTGAACCAGCACTTGTTTTTTTTAAATATATACTGAATATAATTTATCAGATACAAATTTATATTTAAGGCATAATTTAGTGAAATTTTACAACTTTTCATAATTAAGTGAATTTAATTTAACAATCTTTAAAATATCTCTAGCTTAAGACATACTATTGTAATAAGACATACATACATTATCATAGTAATGTGAATGTATTTATTAGATATAAAATAATTTTACTAAATAAAATTAACAATAACTAAAATTTACCTTGTATTCAGGCACAATGCCTTTATAAACTTCATAAAATTCAGCTGCATTAATATTTTCAACAATCAGCATGTAGAGGGCAGTTACATTGAAACCACCCTTATCAATGGCTTCCAAAGCTGCACCTAGTTTTCCCTCTAGTATTGCATGAGGCTTTACTATACAAAGGGTGCAGTTCGAGAGAGTTGCAGTCAGACAAAGTCGTGTCGAATTTAGAGGTGGAGGTGGAAAAAAATATTCTATATCCTAAAAATATCAGGACTATTAACATAACATTAATATTATTTTAGATATTTCCTAGACATACAAAATATTTTCAAGTACCTCTATTGCCGATTCTGATGAGCTGGATGCATGAACACAATTTTTAACAGGATCCGTACCATACAGAGCTCTTATTGTCCCTATTTCAGCCTTTCTTGGATCTTTATCACCAAGGAGTTTAATACATACTAGTACTGCATCTCTTCCAACTAACTCTAAACCATAAACCATTTCTCCTGTGAGGTAATCTAAAAGAAACCTGAAAATTACAAAATATATAATATTGTTTTCTAAGAAATAACTAAATCCAGTCAGTTTGTACTACTATATATTTGACCTAATAATTACGAGGATTACAAAACTTTAACATGGTTCTGGTATTAAATATTAAAACAATTATTCATATCCTTTTTAATGTTATTGTAGTTAGATTATGGTGGAAGAGATTTTTAAAGTTGCATTTCTAACTTGAATTTATACTACTTACGGAAATGTAGGATCTGTGACCTGAGATCTATACAAAATATTAATATCTTCAGCAGTCAGTCGTGATTTCTTCATTTTTGTTACCCGCAAACCATGCTCATGAAAGTGACTTAAAATTTTACCAACGATTTCAGTTGGAAGGGGTTTAATCATAGCAAAAGTTCTGTAAATTTAAGATATGTTATATTAGACTGATACTGAATTTTTTATAATAAATAATGTGATTAATTGTATTTAGTAAACCAACTTACACTTGCATTTCATTGTGCAACTTCTTTCGTGTATGGTCACAAGCGAAGTCAATTATTTTTATAAGACGACCTAATATACTTAAAGTACAACCAATATAAAACCTATCTAAAGTTACACCATTTACTTTAACTCTTTTCACAAACGTTTTTCGACTTTTTAAGTCATACATTTCTATAGTATCATCAGAAGGGTAGTAAAAAATGTTAAACCGGCGTTTTAAATTTGCTTGATTGTCATACCATTCGCCAATGAAAGAATATTTATCAGCGTAAGATTCTTCCTGCAAATGTATACACAAAAATTTATTAATTTATATGGATTGGTCCTGTTGTAACATAAAATTAAATTTCTATACCATTGTAGAATTTCAAAGTTAGGTTGCTACAGTTGTAATTCAAAGTTTGAAACAGTTCCACTAGATACAGTAAACAGAAACTTGTCATAAAATCAACAAATGTGACGTGATGTTTGACAGCACTTTCAAAACAAACACCCTTTGTTCATCTATTGGACAGACAAAGGGAATTGAGCCCATGTTGTCAAAATGCTAAAATTGTTCTAAAATGTCTTCCAAAATTCTCTCATTTAAAAATCGACTGAGACTTTAATATCCTAGCAGTTCCTAAAATTTTCAAGACGACTATGGCCAAGTAGAAGTCGGAGCACGCTTATGGGTTCTAGTAAAACCAGGTGGGCTGTGAGCTCGTCCACCGATCTATGCAGTAAAAAAAAAAGGTTACGGTAATAAGTCCAACGCAAGGCAACAATTGTTTAAGACGGTATTCATGAACAAACCACTTTACTGTTCTATAAATACGAGCTACTTTTGCCGCACAACACTCGTCAGGTTTCAGCCCTGTGAGCTCACCTACTAGTTAGGTGAATCTAGAATAACCCCTCGAAGTTACTAAAATAATAGGAAAAAAAATAGCATAACACATTCCGACTTTAGAAGCCGAATGATGTGGAGCTCTCTGTGTTTAATGTTGTACACTTGAAATTCAATAAAAGGAATTTATTGGAAAAGTGAGTCTTAATTACTGTCACTATGGAAGGCAATGATAACGAAGAAGAGAATGGCATCAGCAACACTGACGTCATCATCTTCAAATACACCATGGATCCTCTCCATCATATACCTATATATATAGATAATAAACACCCAAACAAAGAGAAAACAAGCGTGTTCATCACACGAATGTTTGGCCGATATGGGAATCGAACCCACGACCCTCAGCGCAACAGTGAGGGGCACTAACTACTGCACCACCGAGTCAGTCTTATAGTCATGGCTGGTCCTAGTTTTTTTTAATAGTTATTACTCGTGGCCTAGAAGCATTTCCAATGTCTCCAAGACAAATAGGCGTGCTGGAGCTCAACCAAGTGGGCTGGAATTTACTTAGCTGCCGGAGAACCTTCTACTATGACCTACTGTGACCTATCTACTCAAAGGTAGGTGATTCACGAATGCATCTACTATCAGATTAAAATCGCGATCTACTAGATATTGGCAACATAAAACAAGCCGAAAACTCACCCCGATGGAAGTTAAAGACTTGATCAAAGACCTACGTCCTCGCAAGGCTCCCGGTTCCGACGGTATATCTAACCGCGTTATTAAACTTCTACCCGTCCAACTCATCGTGATGTTGGCATCTCTTTTCAATGCCGCTATGGCGAACTGTATCTTTCCCGCGGTGTGGAAAGAAGCGGACGGTATCGGCATACATAAACCCGGTAAACCAAAAAATGATCCGACGAGCTACCGCCCGATTAGCCTCCTCATGTCTCTAGGCAAACTGTGTGAGCGTCTGCTCTACAAACGCCTCAGAGACCTCGTCTCATCCAAGGGCATTCTCATCGATGAACAATTTGGATTCCGTGCAAATCACTCATGCGTTCAACAGGTGCACCGCCTCACGGAGCACATTCTTGTGGGGCTTAACCGACCAAAACCGATCTACACGGGAGCCCTCTTCTTCGACCTCGCAAAAGCGTTCGACAAAGTCTGGCACAACGGTTTGATTTTGAAACTTTTCAACATGGGCGTACCGGACAGTCTCGTGCTCATCATACGGGACTTCTTGTCTAACCGCTCTTTTCGATATCGAGTAGAGGGAACTCGCTCCTCCCCGCGACCACTCACGGCTGGAGTCCCGCAAGGCTCCGTTCTTTCTCCGCTCCTATTTAGTTTATTTGCCAATGATATTCCCCGGTCGCCACCGACCCAGCTAGCCTTATTCGCTGACGACACAACCGTTTACTACTCAAGTAGAAACAAGTCCCTAATCGCGAGTAAACTCCAGAGTGCAGCGTTAGCCCTCAGACAGTGGTTCCGAAAATGGCGCATAGACATCAATCCAGCGAAAAGCACAGCAGTGTTATTTCAAAGGGGAAACTCACCGCTTATTTCCTCCTGCATTAGGAGGAGAAATATCACACCCCCGATCACCCTTTTCGGCCAACCTATACCCTGGGCCAGGAAGTACCTGGGAGTCACCCTGGATGCATCCATGACATTCCGCCCGCATATAAAAACAGTCCGCGACCGTGCCGCATTTATTCTCGGCATACTCTATCCAATGATCTGTAAGCAGAGTAAAATGTCCCTTCGGAACAAGGTGACACTTTACAAAACTTGCATAAGGCCCGTCATGACTTACGCGAGTGTGGTGTTCGCTCACGCGGCCCGCACACACATAGACACCCTCCAATCCCTCCAATCCCGCTTTTGCAGGTTAGCCGTCGGGGCTCCGTGGTTCGTGAGGAACATCGACCTACACGACGACCTGGGCCTCGAATCGATCCGCAAACACATGAAGTCAGTGTCGGAACGTTACTTCGATAAGGCTCTGCGTCATGATAATCGCCTTATCGTTGCCGCCGCTGATTACTCCCCGAATCCTGATCACGCAGGAGCAAGTCACCGTCGTCGCCCTAGACACGTCCTTACGGATCCATCAGATCCAATAACTCTTGCATTAGATACCTTCAGCTCTAACACTAGGAGCAGGCTGAGGAACCCCGGTAACCTTACTCGTCGAACTCGACAAAGAGGTCGACGTGCAACCTAACCCATGCATCAGCCCGCTGAGTTTCCGGATCTTCTCAGTGGGTTGCGATTCCGATCCGGTAGTAGATTCATTCGCGAAGCAATTGCTCTTGAGTTGTTAGGTCTCCTTCGGAGACGCTCGGGCAGTTGTTAGCAAATCCCACCCCTCCTGGCTGAGCCTTTGCTCGCCCACCTATCCTGGTGAAGCTGGAAAGGCCTCCGGGCCACCAGTAATCTTTCAATCATAAAAAAAAAACCGAAAACGCGACTGCATTGTTCCAAATGACATTACTTCATTTCACAAGATGAATGACGATTTATGGCATACGTGTTGCAGTGTCTGTGACAATACGGGCCACTTTCCAATAAAACCAGCTCAATATAAAATTATTGTTATTGCCACAACAATTTTACTATTCTACAAAAAGAATGGATTCTGGCACAAATCACTCAAATGTTAATGTTTTAAGTATTGAACAAGATCTACTAGCAATGTAACGAACATACAGATTCCCACATTCGCACAGTCGATTCGATTATTCAATCATTTCAATCAAAAGTAATTTTATTGTTGAACAAAGCATAGCTGTTTTTTTTATTTAAACTTTCTCATGAAACTTATAGAAATGGTTTTTAAAAAACTAATGGGTTTATAAATAGGTAATAATAAAGAAAATCTTGTCCGTCAATAAATTTTTGCTTGCGTACAGCCTAACAAGTTACATTTTTTAAATCACTCTGTTCATTTTTTTAATTAAGGGCTATGCAATGAAAAGTTATTTTCTGGCGGGAGCGCTAGGTGATTTGTCTTTTGTGAATTGTTTCTTTAGTAGTAAACGTAATAATGGCTTAAGAAATAATTGCTGGATGGACTGGAACAGCAGTCGTGTGTTACAGTTGAGAGAGTGCGATTGAGATTTCCATCTCAAGTCGCGGAGAGCGTGGCAGAATTCACCTTATGATGTTTGTAGGTTCCTATAGCCGTTTTACACCAGGTGGACTGTGAGTTCCTTCACCTAAATATCTGATTAAAAAGATCTTAATCTCAATCGGTATGGTTTCCTGCCATGGTCTACGCGTTGGTCGGTCAATACTGCACGCTTTTCCTGATATTCTAATTTAATAGATAATTTAGTTCAAAAATAAAACTAAGTACATATACTTAGTGTATTAATAACAAAACGCATCCAACATCATGTCCTTTTTACTTTCAATTCCACTCGTAATACCTGTCATAAATTCAATTAAGCAACCTCTGTGGCGAAAACAAAATAAAAAGGATAATATTCTGAGATTATATTTGTATTCGTATGTATTTGCCAATGCGAAAAATCCAACATTCGGTCAACACTAAGACGTATCACATAATAATGACATATATACATTATTCATAACAGAGAATTCGTTTCTTTGATGAGAAGATTGTGTGCTAATAAAACAGACTACAAAAATAAACGCATATTTTTTTACGAAATTTTACAAGTATTTTAATAATAATAATTATACTTGCTATCCTATTGACTTCAACATTGCATACTTTTATTACCTAACATAAACAGGTTGATATCGATAGCAATGGTGAGTACTTAATGTAGTTTAATTATTTTTAACGTACACCGTTTATTTTCACTCCGTCGAGGCCATTTAATGAAACAAAAAAGTAAACAGGGGGCACCATTGATTGTAGTACCCAATAAGACGGGCCTGAAAATAGGACGGAAAATAAAGGATACAGCCATCAAGAACAAATTATAAAGAAATAACAATTATTATTATGGCCGGATTTGCATTCTCAAACGTTCGGATTAACATCCCGGCTGGTCTAATTATCGAATGTAATATGAATATCAAATTAATAAGTAATATTTCACAGGTATACGACTACTTTGATAAATATAGTTTCTTGTGTGAAATGTATGATGAGGATGCTGACGAAATAAAAGATTTAACCCTCAATTATTTTCCATTTGACAATTCGGTTCAAATAATAGACGCGAAGAAAGGCAAAAATGTTTTGAAACGAGTACAACTACCACCATTAAATTTAGATATGTTACAAATCGGTAATATAGTTAATATATTTTCAAAATTATTATATATCAAGGATTGCGCTCCTGCTACACGGAAAACGCTTTTCAAAAATGTGCAAAGGTTAGTTAATTCCTTTAGATAACTAACGGAAAAATTCTGCAACGTTCTCTGCAACTGTAGGTAGTAGGTATTCTAGTAGTCTGATCAAGCGACGCGCTGCTTTTACATGGGGGTGGTGCGGTCTATGGCTCTGAACGGAGCTCTCATATGAGGCCAGTCCCTGACCGGAAGAATAGGGATACTGCTTCAGAGACCGCACGATGTCATCACGGTAAGGGTCTTCGAGGTTTTTTTTTTATTGCTTAGATGGGTGGACGAGCTCACAGCCCACCTGGTGTTAAGTGGTTACTGGAACCCATAGACAACTACAACGTAAATGCGCCACCCATCTTGAGATATAAGTTCTAAGGTCTCAAGTATAGTTACAACGGCTGGCCTACCCTTCAAACCGAAACGCATTACTGCTTCACAGCAGAAATAGGCAGGGTGGTGGTACCTACCCGCGCGAACTCACAAGAGGTTCCCGCAACATATTTTTTTTGACGGCATGCGTGTCGCCCGTCCAATGATCTTGGAGAATTTTATGTATTACCGAAGTAAAGTTACCAATTTTATTACAAGTATGCCCTTGTTGCTTGCTAGGTGTACTTTTTTAAATAGCAAATGTGTAATTATTCATTAGAATTGTGTATTATCAATACATTCCTTTCATTAGTACATTTGCCATGATTAAGCCGATAGCTCCAAGTGAACATGGTAAAATAATCACATTCATCATGAAAAATGGTTTTCGCATCGTTCGAATGAAAAACGGCAAAATTTGCAAAGAATTTGCAATGGAACTTTACCAAAGCATAGCCAGTAATAATATGCTACCGTAAGTTTTTATCTGTTTTCTTAAAAAAATAAGGTTTGCCACAATAATCTAAACTTTAATGTAACCTACAGTTAACACTACATATGTACCTATGTATATTAATTACATACAGGCAAGACTACACAGCCAAATAGAACTCAATATCTCTATATATAAAAATGAATTGCTGCTCGTTAGTCTCGCTAAAACTCGAGAACAGCTGAACCGATTTGGCTAATTTTGGTCTTGAATTATTCGTGGAAGTCCAGAGAAGGTTTAAAATGTAGATAAATATGAAAATACTCGGAATTAAATAAAAATAAAGATTTTGTTTTCCCTTTGATGTGTCCCCCGTCGGACGGATTCCTTTTGTTTGTTTTAAGTTTATTTTATTACACAAAAGTTTAGGTCTTTTATTTATTGATTGAGGCACTAAAAAGTCTGCCGGGTCAGCTAGTCCTCAATATAATATAATAACAAAATTCAAATGGGCGAATTTTATTACTTTTAGTTTGTGCCAAAAACAGAGAAAATGTTCATCAAGCTAAGGGATATTAAAAAAAAAAGTGATAGCTTCCAGTGTGCTTAGTGCGAGTTTTTTAACGTTCTCGATAGCGTAAAAGTTATCTCATATGTATTTGTATGGAATGGGATCGTTACCGCTAGGGGCGCTGTTCCAACTGCATACAAAATTGGGCTAACTTTTACGCTATCGTTAAAAAACACGCACTAAGCACACAGATCTGAAACTTAGAACTAATATCTCAAAGCGGGTAGCGTGTTGTGGCCGCCGTTAATTACATATCCGACGCAGGCAACGGAGCAACGCAAAGCCACTGTAGCCCAAACATGTCTTGTCGGATCCCCGGATCCACTCTCGGTGCTTTTAGACTCTTCAAGCACCTGGCACCATCCTCGTCGAATTTGTCAATTACGATGAAAAGTTCCGTCCGACTTCTCCGACTTCTTAGTCGGTCGTGATTTTGATCCGGTGGTGAGATTCTGCGAAGCATTGCTCTTGCTAGAGCTAGTGCTAGCAACTTCTCTCAGGATGAGTCCGTGAGCAATCCTACCCGTCTGCGAGAACCTGATGTAGCCCCATAGGCTACCAGCGAGTAGCTAGGGAAAAATGTTTGGATAATATATTTATTTGCATTTTAGTTTTTTGTAATGTAAATAGAACACTTTAATTTTAAAATTTAACAATAAAAACTATGTACTGTCTCAAATTCGGTGCGTTTAAATTTCGCAGGATAATCATAGATTATGTTACTACTGGTGAAGTTATAGGACTAGAGCTTGTTGCACCGGATGCAGTTACAAAATGGCGACAGTGCCTAGGAGCTACAGACCCTGCTGAAGCTGCCCCTGGAACTCTGCGAAACCTTTATGGCGAGAACAAACTGAAGAACGTAGCACACGGCTGTAATACACCAGAGGATGCAGCAAAGGTAGAAACAACATTTAAATTAACAAGTAAATTCCGATGACGCCGATAACTTAACAAACACCAGGTTGGACGTAAGATCGCTCATTAGTACTTACAAAAAAAACCGGAATGAATGAACTTCACAGCGAAAACATAACAAGTGGACTCCCATGCGGCTCAAAATGTGCTTTACTACCCGAGAACGTCATAAAATACGGGCACTTCAATATATACAATAGTAATAAATTTTTCTTCCGTTATACTATATTACTGTCTTTCCATAGATGTTGGAATTATTTTTTGGTTATGAAAAAGGAATACCCAGGGTTCCATTTAGAGCTACATTCAAAAATTGCACATGCTGTGTTATTAAGCCCCACGCAGTAATTGAAGGAAATATCGGTTCTATTTTGGAACAAATCTCAACCTCTGGAAAATTCTTTATATCAGCTATGGCTATGTTCTCAGTTAAGCTTGCAAATGCAACAGAATTTTTTGAAGTTTACAAAGGAGTCCTCCCTGAATACGAGGTAAGTAGTTAAAGTAGTTTCAAGGCAACATCAGGGACATATTTATGGGAGTCACAATGAAGGTTCTTAACTTAGACTTTGTTTATTATTCACCAATTTAATTGTAATCTTCGCAAAAACCAAACGAACCAAATTCTAAAAAATATCATAATATTATCCTCCTCTTTCGGCAGTCGGGTAATTATAGGATAAGAATATTTGTCTGCTTAACTTATTTTTCATTAATGCTTCTTTAGTATTATTTTCTAAGCTTATCCCATTCGTGCTCATTCGGGTTTAAATCGTGCGGACGACCTAGCCATCCTATAGTATTGATTTCAGGGTCTCGAAATTATTCGACAACTAAGGCCGCAGTTTGGGGCCGTGCATTTTCATGCGCATAAACAAAATTTATCTCATATCGTCCCCTAAATGAGTATAGTAGGATAGCCTTGAGCATAAACATCGTGTGGTGCGTTAAGTCTACTCGCTCAACATTACATGTCGATCACAACCACGCTGACATCAGTAGTAAAACGATTGAGAAGCAGATGACAGGAGAAAATACAACTACAATTTGTTCCAAAACCCATTCTCAATGACGAGGAGTTCCATACGTGCCCTCATAGAAATATTTCAACATACAAAGTTGTACTGAGTGTACATCTCCCTCAGGCGTGCCCACACTTTACTCCTTCCATCATCTTACTTCAAGCATAATCAGAACTAGTTGCTTATAGGACAGTCGCTATTCAAACTTTCGTGATTGCCAGAAAAGTGAACTGTAACTACTGTGTGCTTGCTGCAAGACAGAGCTTTTAGATGGCGTTTTTATCGATAAGATAGATAAACGAGCTCACGACCCACCTGAGTCCGATGATCATCAACCACGTTACTACCGCCACTGTTTCAATTTTTACAGTGCAACGGCAGTCTAACCTTTCAAACCGAAACGCATTACTGCCTCACGGCAGAAATAGGCAGGGTGGTCTACACGTGTGGGCTCACAAGACGCACTGCTACCAGTAATTACGCAAATAAGAATTTTTAGGGGTTTGGTTTTTACTACACGATGTTATTTCTTCACCGTGGAAGTCAATCGTGAACATTTGTCAAGTATGTTTTTCATTACAAAAATTGGTACCTGCTTCCGGGATTCGAACATTGACAGAGTTGCATCGCTCAATACAAATGCATTCGGCGTCTTATCCTTGGGGCCACGACTTTAAAACTGTGAAGTTCGCAGTCTGAACTTATTGCCGCTGATGTCATTCTTCCTCACACCGTTTTTGTGTTTACTTAAAATAAACGATCACCTAGAACTTCCTGAACGTTCGTTTTTATCTTAGAAGTTAGTTTTTTTTGGCCTGCTAACCAATTGAACTTCTAATAAGTAGCATCTACAACAGTTAAGTTTAGAACTGGCATTTTAAGTTTATTAGCAGTAACAATGCACACGATAATCGAGGCTAGCCATCTAGGCAAATTAAAAACTGAAATAAAACCTATTTAAATATTAAAAATAAATAATTTGGAAAATATAAACATTTCAAAACTTTATTTTTTTTAAAGGATACTATTTATGGAAAGTACTCATGACAATAACAGCACAAATGAAACCTTTTTAATCTCTAATTTTATCCTGAGTGTTTGTTTAAAATACCTAATATTTATTCAAGTAAAAGTTAGTTGTCCTACCTTCTAAAATGATGTGCATGATGTCTTTATAGCTAAATAAACAGGGCAGTGGTGCGAGCTTGAAATATACTCTACCACTTGAGATAGCTACTAGAAGTTTCAAGGATTAATTAAGAAACTCCATTAATGTTGTCAAACTAGAATAACACCAGTCCATTTCTTTGCATGGGCACATATGAGGTGACTAAGAGACTCACTGAAGAATGAGTGGTTCATGGTGGAATTCTAGGCAGACACTACTGTTGATAAGTTGATGAATATGACAGCCTTTGAACGAATCTTGTAACCAGGTAGTGTTAAAAACTAGATTCACAACTTAATTTTTATTGCCATTTTCAGGCAATGTGTATTCATTTGGCTGAGGGGAAATGTGTTGTATTAGAGGTAACAAGCACCAACCTTGAATTGAATAGCGTTTGTGAATTCAGAAAGATGTGTGGACCTAGGGATCCTGTAAGATATTATTTATTACATATTATTTAACAAACGTAATTTAATTTATTTAAGAGCTTTATTTTTACCAAAACTTTTAGCACTATTTAAATTCATGAAAATTTTATTTTTTAAAAACTAGGATTTGTGTCGTCAACTATACCCAGAATCCATCAGAGCTCTCTATGGAAAATCTATAGTACATAATGCTGTTCATTGTACTGATCTTCCTGAAGATGGTGAACTAGAAGTTGAATATTTCTTTAAACTTGTAGCTAATGATTAAATATGTTTTATTATAATATTATATTTCCAGTTACTTGTTTTTGTAATCATTTTTTACAACAAAATCATTTCCTTCTATTTCAATTTTGTCATACATCCATTTTCTGTTAATTCTGAAAAAGAATTTAATCTTAGAATTATGTGTATAATTATGAATTACTATTTTAAATAAAGATAAATGTTCAGTGAAATACACCTTTGATTTATTAAAAGATAAGTAAGTTAATTTTTTTAATTGCTAAAAGGAGTAACTGAGATGAGATCACGAAATTTGTGCATTTGCCGTCATTACAAACTTGGGCTGTCTACATACCACCTTAACTCATAAGATCAAAGTGTTGTAATAGCAGTTGTCTTATACTTCAAAGGGATACTCATAATTGTTTCATGACAAATTGCTAAAATGGTAACAATCTTACCTAACAAGTCCACTGTATGTGTCACTGCTCATAATTATGCAATTTAATAAATTTTACAGGAGAATAAGGGCTTTAAAAAAAAAAGTTTTGATTGCTTAGATAGGTGGTCGAGCTCACAGCCCATCTGATGCATCTATAATGTAAATGCCGTCACCCACCTTGAGACATGAGTTCTAAGGTCTCACTTTTAACAGTACAAAAGCTGTCATACCCTTCAAACCAAAACGCATTACTTACTGCTTCACAGCAGAAATAGGCAGGGTGGTGGTACCTTCCCGTGTGGACTTCTAAGACGTCCTACAACCAGTAATAAGTGTTGTACCACAGCATTTATCTCTATCTGATATCCATGATTATTTTGAAATATTAATTATTGTTTAAAATTAATATATTGTTTATACCTGCACTCATGGCCACATTTATTGGAATTGCAGTTTGCACATGGAAAATGGCATCCGGGACACTTCTCATCGAGGCAATCACACAAGTCTTTGCCAGTTTCAGCAATATGACCGTGGTCATCATAAATTCTCTTCACTTTTCGACTGCAACATTAGAAATTTTGACTATTAAATTGATGAAAATATATTTATATATAATATTACAAATTCAGACTTGAACGGATTCAATAGAATAGAAATTGTTTCAACTTACGAAGTGAAATATTTTTTCCTGTTTGCTTTTCTACGTTCACGAGCTGAATTTTTAGGATCAAAATTATCTAAGAAACGCATCTTTTAAAAAGTACATGCTACAAACACAAAATAATATTAAAAAAATATTCTCTTCCGCGCGTTATTACCCGAATACAAACGATATTTAATTTATTATTATTATTATTTATTATTATATATTTATCCGGTGGAAGATTCTGCGAATTCTGCGACTATTTTTGTTAGGCCTAGTGTTAGCAAATTCTCTCAGGTTTAGCTAGTGAGGTGAGCTCACCTACCCGTCGGTGAGAAGTACTGAGAAGCTGAAATAGCCAGCTGTAACCGGTAAACAATATATAATCTTACTCTATGCGGTAAACTTCGTGAGCAAATGACCTTGACTGCGCAGAACCGAATTTTAGATCACTTTGGTGGTGAGGGTGAGGCGCGACGGCAGGGGAAATCGTATCGAGCGCGTTGTTGGTAGATCAGTCGAACCTTGCGTCCCGCACCGCGCCCTCGTTCCCATAGATTATACACTTAATATATTTGAGACTCGTTCCGCTTGCTCCCAAAAGTACGCTTGCGTACAGTGAAAAGTCTATTAATATTAATCGTTGAAGTTATTTGTTATAATTATTATTGTTTGTTGATTTTGTTGTTATTGCTATTTGTTGAGTGTTTCTTGATTTTTTATAAAAAATATACTATGCCACGTCAAACTGGTGTAGTATTAAAAAGACAAGCTAGAAAAATGGTGTACGACGTATATTGCTTTCTTAAAAAGCAGGGAAATAATGATATGGAAACGGTAAAAGAGACTTCAGAGGCAACAAAAACATCAGTCAGTACTGTTAGGCGTATTATTAATGAAGCGAAGGGCTCTAACTTGCTCGCCGTGTTTCGTACTCCAGGTAAAAAAAGATCAGGGAAGAAGAAAGTTACCGGAATTGATAGTTTCGACCAATCTGCAATAAAAAGATGTATTCATAATTATCACATAACAAACAGCGAACTTCCTACCGTCGAAAGACTTCGTAAAAAATTGAAAGAAGATATAAATTTTAATGGCTCGGAACGAAGTTTACGACGAATTATGAAAGAGCTAGGCTTCAGATGGAAAAGAACAGAAAATAATCGGAAGCTATTAATTGAAAAAAGTAATATTCGACTACTAAGGATCGAATATCTCCAAAAAATAATTAAATATAGGCAAGAAGGAAGACCGATAGTGTACACCGATGAGTCCTATGTCGACTCATCACATGCAAGTGGTATGTCGTGGTCAGATGGATCAACTGGGGGTTTAAAAAAACCAATTTCGAAAGGACAGCGTGTAGTAATAGTGCATGCTGGCTCCGAAGATGGATTTGTTCCCAATGCCCTTCTTTTGTTTAAAGCTGGCACAAAATCTGGTGACTACCACGATAACATGAACTATTTGAACTACGAAAAATGGCTGCGTTGTCAATTGCTACCAAATCTGCCACCAAATTCCGTTGTAGTAGTCGACAATGCGTCATATCACAATAAACAGTCTGACCCCGCCCCAACTGCCAATGCCAAAAAAGTCTATATGAAGAAATGGTTACAAGAAAAAGAAATTCCATACGATGAAAACATGTTGAAACCCCAGCTTTTTAGCTTGATTAAAGCACATAAGGAACAACACAAAACATACAGCATTGATAAAATTTTATCAAACCACAACCATTCAGTGCTTCGCTTACCTCCATACCATCCAGACCTCAACCCAATTGAAATGGCTTGGGCAGCTATTAAAGGGTATGTCAGTAGCAAAAATGTCGACTGGAGCACTGGCAAAGTAATAGAGCTAGTGAAGGAAAAGGTCGCGGTGATGGGTGCTCCGGAATGGGGTAGAATATGTCAAAAGATAAAAGATATTGAGGCGGAGTATGTAAAAAGTGATCATGTGGTAGATTTAGTCACTGATGAGTTTGTAATTTTTGCTGACGATGATTGCGACACGGATGAAGAAAGTAGTGATGATGATGATGATGGTCATGATTATGATAGCGAAAAAACAATTAAAAATACCAGCTCAGCTTCAGCTGATCCAAGACCTAGCACCAGCTCCTAGTTTTGACCTAATGGAAGGAATATCTATTTTACCCCTAGATTAAATTACTACAATTATTAACCTGTATTTTTTGTTCATGTACTAATAAATATATAAATAAATACATATTATGTTGTTTTTAATAACTTAACATTTTTGTACGTAATTGTACGATGCGCGAACTTACCCCCACTACGTCAACTAATGCTCAAGAAGTTTGCCGAGTATTAATAGATATAAAATAATTAATAATTTCGAATTTACTTGTTTTTATGATCGAACAATCACCAATAGTCGTCGAACAAACAATAATTGATCAAAATTAATTAATCTGAGCAATAAAAATAAAGATATCTAGTAAGAGGGGCCAACTGAAGGGTGATCATTTGTTTAATTAATTATAAATAAATAAAAGACGAACAGATAATTTTACATTCAAACATTGACGATCAAACGACGAACAAATAATTAAAAATAATCCTCGGTTCCCCTCCAATGTCCCGATGATTTTTTCTTTTAAATTTCCACTCCTTTTTTTACGTATTTTTTTCTTCAACAAGACAAGCCCTCTTTTGAACAAAACGTTTTATGGTTTAAGTTCCCTTTGCGGTTAATTAAACAAATCCAAAAACCATAGATTCTACACACAAAATAACAATCCAAAGCATAGATTATACACTATAAAGCTTAAATCAAATTGGTGATTTAAAATAAAACACATTTTTTATTATTATTTAATTTTTCTCTATTTTAGCACATAATGGCTGACACAACTGGGAAAGAGCAATCAGTTACTAAAGTGCCAATGATATATGTTTGTGGAGGTACAGTGTAACCAAATAATAACAAAACTTCTATCACTTTGTAAAACACTAACACAAAATAACCTAATAATTGTTAGGTATCAGCATACCCCATTAATTGATTATTTTTTTTGTATTTCTTTTTCTCTTGATTTATGAACATTTTTTATAGAAAAAAGAAAGAAACTACTTTTAAAATGTTCTTACCGATAACACTAAGCTTGTCAATGTCTACTAAACAAAGAATTAATAAATCAGTTAATTTGTCTTTTGTGTATAGTAGATTATAAAATTATTCACACTGTCTTATAACATTGTATAAATTAAGGCGTTTTGTTTAATGTGTTATTGTTTTACTATATTTCAAATGGGGAATGCATCTGTATAAATATAAATGTTCTTTAGTAAAGCTAAAAGCCGTAAAAGCCTAAGTGCTTTTAATAAAACATGTTAATATTAATATTAAAATTTAAAAAACCTAAACTTAAAAGTATTAGAAAAATGAAATTGATTCAATTGAGAGTAAATTATATTGTTTGCCCTTTTCTACATTATTGTTTTTGCCGATCATCTACTTCAACTGTTTAAATGTTGGTTTCTTTAATAAATCCTGAAACTATAATATGGGTCTGCAAAACAAATGATGCTTTCATTATCATTTTCAGAATGTCACAAAGAGAATGAAATCAAACCAAGAGATCCTATTAGGTGCAGAGAATGTGGTTACAGAATAATGTACAAGAAAAGAACAAAAAGATGTATCCTTTTGATTCTATAAATATATTCATAAAGTAAAGATTATAGGACTAGGATACAGCCTAGTGATTTTAATCAGTAGAAAGGTATTGACAGGTATCACCCATATTTAATTCCTTCATTGTGGAAGTGATTCGTGATCACATTTCAAGAGTATATTTCTTTGGATATATATATATATATATGCAATTTGCACATTTGCATGGTTGCACAGCTTGACACAACTACACCATCTGTTTTATCCTTTGGATCACATTGAGCTTGCAAGAAAATAAATGTAATAAATGTCCATATGATTAATACTTGGAAAATAAACATAATCTCTTTGAATATCTGTTAAAATCTTCAGAAAATTACCCTTTTTGTAGTTTGTGTTGATTTTAAATTCATTATATTTTTGTTCGTAATATTCTGAAAAATGTTCCTTAAGTAAGAATTCAGTGGTTGTGTTTGACGCTCGGTAAACGAATTCTGGAAACAAAACCCTAGAAGATAAGTTCGGTGGATACATCATGCACAGAAGAGTGAAATAAATTTATAATAAGGTTAATGTGTATTTTTGTTACTTTGTCTATGCTCTAATAATACTGACCAATGAAAAAAAATATATACAAGGTAGTTTTTTTATAGTAGATTTATAGATCTACATCATCACTTTACATTATATACTGGTGGTAGCCCATAGACATTAAAACATGAATGCCACCTACCGCCATGATATATGTGTTCTAAATTGTACCCAATAGATATAAGTAATCTGAATGATTTGAAGTATCAATCAACTTATTTGATGTTTCTAAATGAACTACTGCCTTAAAAAAAAATACTTAAGTGCAAGAAAAATATATAACTTTATAGATAGATATCAAATGAGTTCATTATCTTTTTTTTTATTGCTTCGATGGGTGAACGAGCTCACAGCCCACCAGGTGTTAAGTGGTTACTGGAGCCCATAGACATCTACAACGTAAATGCGCCACCCACCTTGAGATAAAGTTCTAAGGTCTCAAGTATAATTACAACGGCTGCTTCACCCTTCAAACCGAAACGCATTACTGCTTCACGGCAGAAATAAGCAGGGCGGTGGTACCTACCCGCGCGGTCTCACAAGAGGTCCTACCACCAGTAATTACGCAAATTATAATTTTGCGGGTTTGATTTTCATTACACGATGTTATTCCTTTAATCGTAAACATGGGTGGCGGCATTTACGTGTGACCGTTGGCCATGGTTTTGCACACGACACCGCTAGTGGCGCCAGACGCAAAGTGTCAATATGGAGTACTTTCGTAAAACTTCCGTTAAATAATAACAACTAATAAAAAAAACAAAAGGGAAATATCTCAGTGTATTTTAATTATGTAACTTCATCATTATAAAGTTTTAACAATTTATTAAAATTATTACCTCTCATAATAAAACACCAGAANGTTGGCCATAGTTTTGCACACGACACCGCTAGTGGCGCCAGACGCAAAGTGTCAATATGGAGTACTTTCGTAAAACTTCCGTTAAATAATAACAACTAATAAAAAAAACAAAAGGGAAATATCTCAGTGTATTTTAATTATGTAACTTCATCATTATAAAGTTTTAACAATTTATTAAAATTATTACCTCTCATAATAAAACACCAGAAAATGTATGTCTAAAATTTTACAATAGCCACAAATATACATTTTTTTTCGATCCATAAAAACTATCAATAAATAATTGTTAGGACTCACGACATTAATATCAAATTTAATTTTTCACACATTCCTCTAAGTCAACTTTTTGCTTACGTTATATAATAGTGAATATAAACATGCTATGGGTATACACATGCATAAAGAAAATTTGAATAAAGAGATTTAATTCCATTCTATAGTTACCAACTCACTAATCATAATCAAAAAGTTTATAGCACATACAAATAACATTCTTGGTAACAAAATACAAAATCATGACAGTTTATGATCAAGTAACTTTACATGTTCTGTCTCGAATTTATATTATGTCCCAATTAGAGAACTATACAGATGACGTAATAAATTTCAATTTATCGGTAGTTGAAATATAAAAATTACATAGAAAAATATCAATTAAAAATCATTTTAAACTTGAAATAACTAAATGATTATCTTTAAAAAGCTTATATTTCTATTCGCAAGTGTTTTGAAAATAATAATTATGTATTTATTTAAAATCATACTAGTGGCTAACAGAGGAGATAATTTCATTGAAAAACTAATATGGAAATGCGCTATTTGTATTCTGTAAAATACGCATTTAAATATGTATTTATGGCTTTGCTGAATTATTAGAGTTGACTTTAGCTACCTATTGTATCACGGAGTCCTCTTTAAATTCGAAGTCAGCTTCTTCATTAAAAACATTTGGCATTCGAGGACTAAATGTACATACATTTGTCATGTTTAACTTTCAAGCACCCATTATAACAAAGGGGAAAACCCTAGCTTGGGGACGTTTAATATGAAACGTTTAGTACCGAACCATTGAAATTTTATTAGATGGATTTAATCAGTTAGAACAACTTATTATTGTAGATAAGACCGCTTACAGGCCACCTGTGTGCTTAGTGCGAGCTTCTGAACGTTCTCGATAACGTAAAAGTTAAGCCAATTTTGTATGCAATTGGAACAGCGCCCCTAGCGGCAAACGTACGCAAGCGATCCCATTCCATACAAATATGACCTAACTTTTACGCTATCGAGAACGTTAAAAAAACTCGCACTAAGCACACTGGCTTAAATGGAAAAAGAGCCGCATGCACAACAATGGAATAGCAAAGAATTGGAAACAATTTTCTTGGATAGTGCGAGAATTATAACGTCGGATCACATTTTTGAGTAACATATCGAATTTTGATTTTGTTATTTAAATTGTAAACGGTTTGATCTTATAAGTAATGGTAAACAAGGGCAAGTAAAATTGATAGAGTCCCGTCTGTAATGAGAGATGAAAGGATGGATCATGTATGATTTAAAATAATGTGAATAATGACAATACCAGTAAATAGGCATTCAATTGAAATTACATCTAATATTATAATTTTTTTCATGCCAATCCGGTATTCGATTAATATTAGAAACATTATTTGTAGATATGAATTATTTAAGTATGCATGTTATTTTGTTTAAAATATTTACTTTTTTATTTACCGCACTTTATGTCGCCTCTCGAGACTGATACGATTTATCGTTTCCGCTTGAATGTCTATTTCAACAGTTTTTCAATTAAAACGTATAGCAGATTTTTTGTATAAGTTTTAGAATTAGGAGCCTATAATTATAAATCATTGATTAGCGTCGATGCCTTTCTGTTGCTATAAGCTTCTTGATCATAATGGTAGATTTAGGTTTTTATCGATTATGTACATATATATTTTAATAGATAGTTATTTATTATGGTGGTACTTAAATACATTTTGTACCTTAATAATTATGACAGTCCCGTGATATGATCAGACACAAGATATTTACAAAAATAACTAAGTAGTTTGTTTTTGAAAATTGATATTCCAATATGGTATAGTACAATAGTAGTATAAGGCGCAGTGCAGCAACCCAGTTCGAAAATATTGTAAAAATGTTATTGTAAATCTACATCGTTATTAAAATAGTTTATACAATATATTAAGACATATATATACTACAATAAAGAAACATAATGATGATATCATATATTTTAAAAATTTGAATTTGATTTGATTGGTATTATTAATAGTGATATTTTCGAACAGCTTGTGGTCTGCAGCTTCAATGAAGCTTAATTTCATATTAGCGCCATAAAGCTTAATTTCTAGAAAAATAGTTTAACAATGAATATATATATACTTTTCAAATAACAGTACATTATATATAAAAAACTAGGCTCTGTAACCTATCCCTTACAAAAAAGACAAAACATGCAGATCATTGATCATTCACACTAATAATTATTTTTACATTGGACTATAAAAATTAAATGAATAATAGTAATGCATAATAGTAGGAATCAAAACTATACTACTATTAATATAATTTTTTTAAATCGGAGAGCCCAGCTTAAACATGTATACAAATTGATTATAACTTTAAAGAAACTAAATTCAATTTATTTCCGTACATTTTTATGGAAGACATTTTTGTTTTTTACTCATATCTACGTTTAGTGTATGGAAGTTGATATGCCAATTGTTTTAAATTTATGGAAGTAGTAGTTACATAGTATAAATATGAAGTGGTAAATATGTCATACAAAAATTCATACAAAAGTGCTGTTCTATTCTATATATCATCCGACTACTCCTATGACAATGTAATATGTTTGACTGATATTTAAGCGTAGTTTAAAAAATGTGGACCTCTTTTTTTTCTGTCGCAATAATATATCCCATCTAGGTCTTCGTTTTCAAATACAATTCAACAAATATTATCTCTGTAGAAATTACAAATAACAGTATTAATACATAATAAGACTTACATTAAAAGCAAATTTAACAAATTTAATATTACGTGGAGATATTTACAAGATACATATTAATATTTTTCGAATTTTTAATGTTAGAGTATGTTACAATCTTAAAGCGTACAATTGTTTTCATACAAATCTGAGTAACCCCAGCTTTAATAATTACACTTAAATTAAAAACAAAATAAAACTGCACATTAAAATACACTATGTACGTAATATAATTTTGGCACTAAATATCTGTGGCACTACAGTTAACACGTGTTTCCATTTCTTGATCTTCATTACCTTCACTTGTTTTTCCATTACTGTTTTTTTCACTAACACATGCGTTATCGGCGGGTGTGTTATCTTCGTCTTCCGACAGTTCCCTGCCTGCAGGTAGTTCTACTATTGTTAGACCGTTAGGATCTCGATATTCCAATTTTGTTGGATCTTTTTCGTGAAGCTTCCTTGCGAGCAATTGCAAGCTAGCCAGCGAACTATCACAATCTGTTGTGTCTATATCTGTCAAACTAACACCGGCGCGTTCAATCTCGGTGAATGTACCAAAAGGTAATTTAAACAAACACTCTAAACGCATAACATGCATTTTACTTCTTAAGTGTTTAGCAAGATGTCCATGAATTCGGAACGCTATATTACAGTCGGAGCATCTAAACGGTCTGGGATTAAACGACGTTGCTGCCCCGAATGTTGAAGTCATTGATATTTTGTTGTGATGTGAAGCAGACCGTTCGTGTTTTTGTAAATGACCCCGTGTGCGAAAGCTCACGGCACATATACTACATCTAAAGGGCCTTTCCATGTAATGAATATTTAGATGCAACCGTAGCTGTGAAGGTTTCGTAAATGTCTTATTACAAAAATTGCAATCTCTGCATCCGTCTTCCATGATTCTGCCAGGGGGATATGAAGAACTTTCAAGTTCTTTGCCTTTAGTAACCTTAAAAGCCACGCCACCCACACCAATTACGACTTTTGTCGCAACAGAATCATGTTCCAATATCGATGATGACTTCATGGTTTCTGAATCTGAAAATTCATCAGATTTTAAGATATCATCGCCATTTTTTTCTTCACCGTAGTTTTCTG